ATACACATACGTCTTACCTTGGAGTCTTGAATCAATGTAGCTTCGCCATTATTTGGTCTATAGAGGTGATATTTGTATCTAATTAAACCTTATTAAATTTACTTTATGGTTACAATATTCAGTTATGCAAATTAGCTAATTTGCATTAATTGTGACGTCATCAATCCATTTTTGGTTCAGAATATCCTAGTATAGCAACATATCTATTAGAACTGAGGCCGTATGACAGAATGTGTGCATAGTTTTGTCCCTTATTTGATGAGTGGAAGATATAAGCAACATTAAAGAGACAACAAATCTTCAAAATTGGATCAGAATTAACAAAATTATCCAGCTTTGGAGGCAGCTACTGTGAACGTCATTGTTTGACAATTATAAAAAGAATATTAAATTAACAAAAAAAAAAGTAACAGCCATAGTTGTTTCAATCTTATTGAGTAAAAATGTGCATGTATTGAACTGAACTAATAAGTATGTTGAAAGGTTACATGTATTTTGACTATCATTCACAGGGGTCAAAACGGTTATCTCGACCCTGTATATTAAAGATCCAATTTTATAATTTACCATGCACTTTCAATGATTCATATAAATAGTATACATATAGTCTGATTTTCATCATATTCTTCATATTCTTGATTCTTAAAGCATCTGAAGTATAAAGCATGATTAGAAGTGAAGATGATTCATCATATGGTTTATGTAATATTTCTAACATTTCAGATGCTATGGTAACATCACTTGATAATTAGGTTTTTACATTTCACGTTCTTAATGAGTAAACAGAAAGTTATTCTCCCTTTGCTTTAGAGATAAATAGTCACATGAATTTGTTTAAAAAAATTATAACTTAATTTAACCCCCTCCTGACAGCCCCCATATTTGAAGATTTTGGTGAAACCTAGCAAAATACATTAATTATTAGGTTCCAGAAGCCCCCAGAAGCTATATGATGGCCCCCAGTGGCCCCAAGAATCTATACAGGTTCCCAAAGTGGCCCCCAGAAGGTATACGATGGCCCCCAGAAGCTATACAAGGGCCCACAGAAACTATACTGTTGTCTCCGGAAGCTATATGGTGACCCCCAGTGACCCTCAGAAGCTATATGATGGCCCCCAGAAGCTAATTAGTGGCCCCCAGGAGCTATACAGTGGCACCCAGAAGCTATACAGGGGACCCCAGTGGCCCCAAGAAGCTATACGATGGCCCCCAGAAGCTATACAGCAGCCCCCAGAAGCTACACGATGGCCCCCAGAATCTATATGATGGCCTCCAATGGCTCCCAGAAGCTAAACAGGGTCCCCAGTAGCCCCTAGAAGCTATACGGTGCCCCCCAAAGCTATATGGTGGCCCATTGGGGGACACTGTATAGCTTCTGGAGGCCATCATATAGCTTATGGGGGCTACCGTATAGTTTCTGCGGGCCCTTACATAGCTTCTGGGGGCCATCGTATAGCTTCTGGGGGCCCCTGTATAGCTTCTGGGAGCTACAGTACAGTTTCTGCAGGCCCTTGCATAGCTTCTGGGGGCCATCGTATAGCTTCTGGGAGCCCTTGTATAGCTTCTGGGGGCCATCGTATAGCTTCTGGGGGCCACCGTATAGCTTTTTGGGACGTATAAGACGTATGTATATTATTGTCAAATAATGACATTCACGATAGCTGCCTCGAAAGTTACATAACTTTCGTAATACTGATTCAATTTTGAATCTCTTTTCACTTTTATGTTGCTTATACCTTCTACTAATAGAATAAAAGACAAAACCTTTCAGAAATTTTGCCATACGGCCTCAGTTCTAATAGATACGTTGCTATAGTTGGAAATTCTGAACCAAAAATAGATTGATGACGTCATAATTTATGCAAATTAGATAATTTGCATAGTTGAATATCAGAAATTTATTGGAAATTTAACGAGGTTTAATTTGGTACCAATATCATTTCTATAGACCAAATAATGACAGAGCTACAAATGATTTAAGATACCAAGGTAAGATGTCTAAAGATGCGTAACCATGGTAACTGAATGCCGCCATAAAAGTACTATGGGAGTTGGCAATGTTAACAAATGAATTCATTAAATAGACACCCTAGGGATTTCAAAAATGTATATAACTTATTCACACCTTATGGGTGCATGGGAACCCCTTGTTCCTACTATACTAATTTCTCTCTTATCAAATTAGTAATGTAGTTTTTCTATGTCTGTTTTTTTGTACACAGAACGTCTTATCAACGTCCGTGGTTGCGGATGTTATATTGATATATTCTGTTTGGAACTATATTATCTAGTTTTGTTTTCAAGACCAAGCAAAATCATATGTGATTTTAATTCAACACTGAGAGTTGAATGCCCTGACACTTTACCAAATATCCCAAGTACACAGCGTGAAGCTCTTGACTGCTGCTATGATAATTCAACTAGGAGAACCATTCTGCTACAAAGGGGTAACTCCATACATAGTTACACGTGTTACATTTGTATAAATTCGAAAATAAGTAATTGTGTTCAATCGGAGTAAAAGCCCAGTCGTTTAGATATGTCCGACCCAAATGACAATTTTTAGAACATCTTCGTCAGCCTTTCTAAGTTAAAAATCAATTTCACATCCTGGAAGAGATTCACTCCAGAACATGTGTGTGCGATTGGCTTAATGGGAAATAAAATAACAACTTAAAAACTGAACAATTGACATAAAGGATCAAGTTAATCAAGTAAGGCTCTAAGTATGACTGACAGTCATCCCCTCGACTACATTCTTTTCACTCTATTCCGTTCTGGTGCGAGCGACAGCGGACGGAAAAGATATCCAAAGCGGACAAAACACAACGCTTGGTTTTGAGTTTGGGAAGGAAGAAAAATAGAAAGAGAGGATCAAGCATCTCATGATGCGATTGATGCTCACTCTTGTTCTTTGTATTATTTACAATTTTGCGGAAGTCTCATCACAAAGTAAGTATTGACGTGTCTATACACTATGAAGTATAGCTATATATTAACAACTATTTTGTATCTGTACAAGTGTGCGTGCCCTTTGCGTAGAAAGTATTAAATAATTAATATCGAATATTATCAATTTCTCAATATAAACTATATTTCTAGCTGCAGTAGATGGTAATTGGTCATCCTGGGGCGAGTTTGGAGATTGTTATTATGAAGGACAGACTGTGCAACGTGTGCGTACGCGGTCTTGCTCAAACCCACCACCACAATTTGGAGGCAATGACTGTGTAGGTGAAAGTAAAGAAAGTTTACGTAAGTGGAGTTAGTTATTGAGAGTCAGAATATTAAGGGAAATATGGAGAAAAACATTTGCAAGGTGTGACATACGCCACCAATACATTGTTTTTTTGTCTGCCATGATTAGACAAGTAAACAACATGATTTCCCGAACGTCATGTTGCAAATAGGTCATCACAGGTTATTCAGTAAAATTGATATAGGTAAATTCATCTGATGACATGGTTTAAGGCTCGTTATGAAGAGAACTGTAAGATGAGATCACAATAAAATAGTTTTAGAGAGTTCCCAATTCTTTGCTTTACTTTACTTTTCAGTTGGAGGTTGTCTTAATGGTGGCATTTGCAATACATTAACTCAACAGTGCTTCTGCACGGGGCGTTGGACTGGAGAGTTTTGCGGCTGTTCACAAGAATGGGGTGAGGGTGTTTTCATTGTTTCGAGATTGATAGGTGGTGTATTGTATAGAGATTGGTATTGTATTGTATTGCATTGTATTGTATTGTCTCTTTTGCTGTAAATATGGGACAAGCTTCCCCCATGCGGTTGCAATGGCAACGACGTCCATGTGTTAATATATGTTGTCTTTATTTCTTCTGACTGTGACATTGGGTCATGATATTAGTTTAAACACCATTATGCCTCTTTACAGCATCCTCACAGTGCAATATTGACATTGATGACCGTGTATCATGTGGTGATTACGATCGAGAAAATTGCTTACTGAAATCGTGTTGCTATGACGATGCTTTACCAATTGCGAGGGGTGTTCCACAGCCAAAATGTTATCACACAGGTTAATGCAATATAATGTATATAATCAGATATTGTGTAAACATATATTCAGATCATTCTTTATATCAAATATTTGAATGTATATATCCATTTTGATATCACCACATACGTATGGTGACATAATGGTTTCTTTTTTCTGGACGGTGTTTGGCATTCGGAGTTCAGTCGGAGTCTGTAACAATTTGCAATTGCAATATCTTACAAGGTGGTGACATTTTGTCATGTTAATGTCTTGTTAATTCATATGATACAGCCAACGTTGCCCGAGGAAAAGTCGCCATCCAGAGCTCAACCGTCGGGGAACAGGTTGCTGGACTTGCAGTTGATGGTTCCACTGATCCCATTGACGATCGTCTTGAAGGATTCTCCTGTTCACGCACAACAGTCGCAAATAATAACTACTGGATGGTTGATCTTGGTCAGCTTTACTCTATAAGGACTGTAGAAATCCATAAGCCGATTGGCACTGCAAGTATGTATTATGAATGGCATACAACGCTGACTAAATAAAGTATTCACTTCGGAGATTTTTAGAAAATAAACATGATAAGGAATGGTATGCGACAAAATATTTTAAAATCGAATCAATTTTTGTTCAACTTGTTCGCTAGATCTGATGCTTTCTTTAAATTTATTGGGAAACGAAATGGGATACTCGCATAACCTTAACCATCAATGTAGAAGTTGATGCCACAAAGGTTCCTTTTCAAAGTGCATATAAGCAATTTCCAATCCTTCGATCAATATGAAGAAGTACAAACGACACAAAAATTTTATACATGCATGTTGACTTCAAAAAAGTTTTTAATTCAACACATTTACATTTCTTCCATTATTTTTCCAGATGGAGCAAAGGCATGTGACTTCAATGCCACATTGAGAGTTGAATGTCCTGACACTTTACCAAGTATCCCAAGTGAACAATGTGAAGCTCTTGATTGCTGCTATGATAATTCAACTATTGGAGAACCATTCTGCTACAAAGGGATCACTACATACACAGGTACATTTGTTGCATTTGAGGTACTCCCTAGCGCTCTCTCGCAAGGGTGCTTTACGAAAATAGTTTAGATATAAAGAACCTTAGAAAGTTAGAGAACTTATGATGAACATCTTCGAGATGTATTTTCCGTATTTCACAAACTAATGAGTATTACTCTTTAAAAGATTTGATAGCATATATTAAGTGGCAATTACTAATTAAGTACGGATTTAGTTTGAATCATTCAAGGTAAAACGAATTCCGTATCATTTCTATTGGAAATTTAAAAGCATGAGTGTATATACCAAAGTACTAAGCCCGATGATGCACGAGGGCTGGGCCCGAGTACATTATCTGAATAGGTGTACGAATGCTCCAATAAAGAATGATGCCAGGGTTCTTTTCTGTAATTAAATTCTATTATTTCTCCTTTTAAAGATGACATTGTCAGTTCTTTATGAAACCATAATGCACTGTGATGACATCACTCTTTTACCAATAATGGCACTGCTCAGTTTATTATGCAACCATAAAGCACTGTAAAATAATGTCTCTGCTCAGTTGACCAAGTCCCCTGATTAGCTGATTGGCTAGATTGGCTTGAGACACACTTGGCATCTTTGAATTTTCTCGATTGATGAGAACTTACGAATAGTCCTGGATGAAACTTATTGCATCTTTTAAATGTATAATACACGGTCAGAGTAGGCCGTGTGATGTTGATTATGACTTCTTGAATTGTGTTTGTTATTAACACGATCGATTTCCTCCAGATACGGTGTCCTGTCCATTACCAGAAAGTCTGACAAATGGACCACTAAATTATGTTCCGGACGATGCATTCACAGCCAGCTCTTATTATACAACAACCGGATTTTACAACTATCCTCCTGCACATGCTGCACTTAGAGCTCGAATAACAAATGAGGCGACACCGTAAGTGACATCCAAATTCTGACTTAAAATGATCTAAAACCGAAAAATGTATTCGGGAGATCTCCGTAACGCGAAGCTATAACTATATAGCTTCCATTTCAGCTCTTTAACTTGCAGTTAATCGTATCCCCAGATGATTTTTCAGATGCTCCGATCTTTATTTCGCACTTGCTTGCTTGCTTTTTATATTGCGATGGGTATCCTGTGAACGCAGGGGTCCCTGAAAGAATGGAGAGAGAGAGAGTGAATGGTGTCTAGAACCCTGCGTTTGTAGGATGACTGATGAGCAGCTGCTTATATATTCCGCTTAATCGATCTTTTCATAATGGAATCAACGTGTGTTTTCTGATCACATAGTCATCATTTCAACATTGGAATATACTATTTTCAGCAAAGAAAATTGCCTTAAAATTGAATTGTAGGACGAAGTATGGAGCGTGGGTTGCTGGTGTAAAGGACACGGCCCAGTACATCCAGGTGGATCTTGGAGACACATTTTACGTGTATACTATCAAAACGCTTGGGAGGGATAGAATAACCACAAACAGTGACGAGGCAATATGGGCCGTCTCGAGCTACAAGGCCCAGTCGAGCCAGGATGGTGTAGCATTTACCGACTATGAATTTGTTACTGCTGGACTTGTAAGTTCGAATGGCAACGTTTTGTATACGATTAAGCGATAAGCTATTAAATTAATAATGTATGAAAAGAATTGAACCCCAATACTCGATGAATTGTGGCTGATTCATTCCGTTGTTTCCTAAACTTACCATTCGGTGTTACGCATCTCGTGCAAAATTTGAAACAACACCTTGGAGGAATGATAATCTGTTCACTATGCTTAACACAGGTCTTAAATCCTTAAATAATTTACACTAATAATGCATATAGCATACATCCTAACTTAACTTATGAGAACAAAGGTTGAAAAGTAATCAAAAAATTGTACATAACTGTCGATTTTATTTCAGATAGCAACTGGCAATACAGATCCTGACGTTGAAGTTGAAGCTGTCATCTCGAACAGTGTAAACACGTCATATGTGCGTATACTCCCCGTAACCTGGATTAACAATATTGCCTTGAGATTCGATTTGCTTGGCTGCCCAGTTCGTAAGTATTCCATTTTTCGAGATCTAATCTGTTCCCGGGATTCTGTTGTACAGTCTATTCAGCTACTTATTTCCTCAAATATCGTCTAAAAGGCAGTTACCTCAACCCGGGTGTCTCACATCTCTTAAATATACATGTAACTAAATAATTTTTCTTATTACAGAAAATCCCAAGTGTTTTCCTCTGGGTCTACTGAATGGGCCATTAAATATTGTCCAAGATTCAGCGTTTACAGCTAGTACATCATACCAACGGTCGACAAACCAGACACGCCTTGTTGACGCAAATCCTTATCGTGCTAGATACACCAGTGTAGAACAATCGTATGTATACTATGTATCTAATACACTATTATACATCGGCCTGGCCTGCATTTAGGAATTCGTTTTATTTTTAAAAAACTTAACTTAGTTAATCGTTTGTCTCATATTCGTGTCCAACATATCAAAAACAAGCCCCTTGGTTATATTTGTTTGGAAAACATGTTTACAACCAAGAAGAAATTTGTTTGCAGAGAAGGCTTCGCCAGTTGGAGACCTGCGACAAACGATGTGGACGAGTTCGTCCAAGTAAATCTGGGTCAACTGTGGACAATAGCAGCGATTGTTACAAAGGGACGATTGATTAATGTTAATATTGAAGGAACAAATTTTGAAAATATCGACGAATGGGTTACTTCATACAGAGTTTATTACAGTAAAGATGGACTTTCGTTTACGCAGTATCTCGGTGTAAGTCATCAACACTATATTTTTATCTGATTTATACCACGCATGTCATTCTAGGCTAGGGGATAGGTTTTTATAAACGTAATAACAGGAACAGTTTTCACAGACAGCATGATATAATTTTTGAGTGTATTTTACATTATTTCGACTTCTGTTTTTTCATTCGATTATATATAGCATTCTAATGGAGGGATTTCATTTTTATCATGTTTATTACATCACTTCAATGGGGTTAAGATTTTGAGATGAGTCATCTCCGCAAGCATAAGTAATGTAGACTTTAACAAGTGCACGTTCATGGTGTTGAATGTGTTTCCTAATTTATTTAGAGGGGCATTTACATTTAAACGTACCAAATCTTATATTCTCCCATCACAATCTTCTGCCGATACAATCATATTCATCGATCATGTACATATTTACAATACTTAACATGTATTTCAGGATCTTTCCCAGGATACTCTTCCTGGAAATACCGACCAGGATACTGCAGTAACAAACACATTTTCTCCAGTTTTTGAGGCCGTGTTTGTTCGAATAAATGCAGTGACATTTCAAAACCAAATAGGTTTACGTTTTGACGTGTTAGGGTGTCCCGTTGTTGTAGGTAATTCGGTTTGGACCATTACTTGCTAATTTTAATCCGCATACGCAGAGCATCTCTAATATTACTTGATATATGACATCATTTCATAAAATAACATGTCTTTATTTCTTCACGAACTAGAAATAGTAAATTAAGTATTAATTATAAATAATGTATTACAATCCTAACGTTCCAATGGAAGGGAAATCTACACGGGAATTCATAAAACACAAAACCTTAACATAAACAATCATATTTAAAGTCACTATATTAGTTCAAGGCCCCGTTGAGAGTTCAAGGTCAGCTAAAATGTAAATTTTATAGGTAAAGCTGCTTAGCATCTGTTCTGTCACCAGGTGAATTGAGACACACAGTATAACTATTTATGCACCATTTATAAAAAAAGTTTTCCCTTGGCTCCTACATAGAAATTTGAAATACCACGTTAATCAGAAATATGTTTCCCTAAAACAGATGACAGTGGTGAAGACATTATAATTGAAGTGGCAAAGCGTCTGACACCTGAAATCGCATCATTCACTTCCCCAATTACAACTGGATTTGACTGGGAAGTGTGCAGTACTCTAAATGGAAGAAACTTGCAGAAAGAAACTGCATATTGCAATTACGGGACAATTGGGAGATATCTGCTCCTGAGAAGGGAATCAGAGACAACACTGACCGACTTATCTCTATGTGAAGTAAAGGTGTATGGTTCTGCAATAGGTGAATATTCTTGAGAAGTGTTTGATTTGACCAAATATTTGACAATTACTGGTTTTCCGCTATCAGAAGTGGCTTGCGAGTTGGTAATTACTCTGGTCTCAATTCATTTTGTCAATTCTCTTCATAAAACTTGATCTTATTCATCTATTTTGCCTGTCACTAACATTGTCCAATACTATTGTATATTCTTTTGTCGAGTACCCTTTGCATTCGTTCGACTTCACTTCTTAAAAGAGAGCTCCGTCTTCATTCGAGTGTAGTTTAACTAGACTCTGCACGCAGGGTAATTGTCGAGTTGTAGAGCAAATTACAGATGTTGAGATGGTAGAGCTACATGTATACCACTGTGACTTCTCGTGTTTGATCTATCTTGTGTGTGCTTTATCACATCTTCTTTGTGTTCTTTGATTCTGGGTTCTAGTTTACTAGCTCTTTCTCCTCACCCGTATGAATGCTGTATACATGACAAGGGTCTTTAACTATGGTGTCCTTGGTGTACTTAATTTTGTTCCAAACTGACTTCATAGCTGTTTTAATGTTCTTTTTGAACAACAAACTTTTGAACGATTCAATTACACCTTGGACATTTGGGAAACGTCCATTTCTGCTGATTTCTTAGTCTCAATTTATTGGTAGCTTTGGTCTTATTTTTCTTTCACTTTGTTGATAGACCCCTTGGTGTACGTATCGAATAATTCTACCTGATGAAGCTCCAGGGAAGTATATTGTTACAGTCACACTTTCTTTCCCTATTTTGCAATTGTAGAAAGAGTCATTCCTCCAACAACAATAAAGTTGGACCTATTTGGGAGTACAGCTGACTCGTCATCAGGTTTGGAGGAGCAATTACCCATTGACGCTGATTATACACAGACAGCTGGTCTATGTACAAGCATAACGGGAGTAGACCCTTGGTGGGTGGTAGACCTAGGAGGATCCTACTACGTTGCAACAGTGAATATTTGTAAGTAACATTTCATAAATGTTGGCAATTGGGAACAGCATTTGGGTCATTTTCACTGATTTTTAATCTTGTGAACGAACAGTAGATTAAGATATAATGTAATAATAATGAAGCAAGTTATTTCACCATTTTAGATAATTCAGATAAATTGGAAGGTATGACATATTTTTGATAAAACCTACATTGTATGACAGCAAACCAGAAAATGACTTAAATTATGGCTAAAACTGTAATCCTAATTTTAAAAAGAATTTTTGAGCAATTTCCCATGAGAGCATAACTTTGACCATATATGCAATATAACTACATCACTGTTTTCTGTCTTAAAAAAATCTTCAAGATTCCATCATATCTGATAACGTAATATGCCAAAATTGGAAGGCCTCTATGTAGAATTTCATCGTATAAAATAACTGTGTTAAAGGTGTTGACTCACATTTTATGTCAAAAATATACATGAACTTGTACCATATTTGTATCTAATTTAATTCATTATTTCAGATACACTGACGACTTTAAACAACTTCGACATCCGTTTGATATCAGTATTAGATGTAAATCCACTTGCATCCGCATACCTAAGCTGTAACACAGAGACTGGTACTATCAGTGATTTTAGTTCAAATCTGTGTAGTGTTCCAGCCAGTGAACAGTCGTCTTCCTATGTTTTGATAACAATTGGTGGCAGTGGGACGTTGGTCCTTTGTGAAGTTGAGGTTGTTGTGCGTAAAGATGGCGTTACTGCACTCTCATCTGGTAAGGACTTAATATTTCAAAGGGCTATGATTGGTTAAATGAATAATCTGAATCGTTGAGTTGGACCGTTTACACTAGGTGCGCGGTCAATCTAATATCACATATACCACACATAGTTGAGAAAATGTGGGTTAAGTGAATTGCCATATATCAAGAATATATCATCAGACTGTTACTCGCAAAGTTGATTAAAGCATGCTTTCATAAATAGGGGACACGTCAACGGGAAAGAAATGAAAAAAGGTTCCGCTTAAAGGGTGACGCATATCGTTTAGCAAATCGAACGCTCGTTTCTGGTGTTGCTCACCGTTTAGTATAAAAGGCCCGATCCCGGAATAATACTCAAGGGTTCACAGGTTCGAGGTCGTTGTGTCAACACCTCTAACTGTTCTATAGCATAAGTATATTATAGATCGTCACACATTTATAAAAGGGTGATTTTTATTTTGACAAATCAATTCCACATTTATGGGTGAAGTTTCAGGATCTTCTATTTGTGTATAATAAGGAAAAATTGGCATCTAAATTTCCCCATAACGTAATAGCACACAGCTTGGCATATGAAATATCCTACAAATGAAACAAACCAAGACAAACCGGTTTCCAATACAAGAATTTATATTGGCTGTTGTACATGTATTCTTTGAACGCAATCACTCTTTGGATAACGTTTTCAAAATCATTATAAACGGATTACTTTATCTCAAAGACAATTTCAATAAACTTGATTTTACAGAACTCCCCTTATTTCTTAAAAATGGACTGATCCAGTTGATTCGCCTGGAGCCGCCATATTGTTTTTATTCGGGATGCTAATCGTCACCCTTTAAATGATTTTTTTCTTTAAATTGTACAAAGTGGTATATTTTTTAAAAATAACCTTTTGCCACAAATGGCCTTTACAGAAAATCAATGTAGTTTTGAACTTAATATGAAAACAGTGTGCATGATGTAACTACAAAAGTTTTACGCCAATTTTCTATTTTTTCTACTATTTTGTTACATTCAATAAATGCAACAGATTCCAAATTAAAATTCCAGATCCAAAATTCTACTTACAATACACACCATAACGTTTCTTTATTTAAAGGTCCTAATAGCTTTAGAGCTATAGATGGTGACTTTACTCAACTTGCTGGAGACGGAGCGTTGTGTAGCGAGACATCTGTTCAAGTTAATCCATTTTGGATCACTACTCTCGATGATTACTTTCGTGTTGAACGAGTCGACCTGTATCAACGAGTTGCACAAAACAGTAACGATGAGATTCTTAAAAGTTTATTGTTTTATTCAGTCTATTGTGATTAAATTCCATCGAGATGAATTCAATAAAACGAATAGTTAATAAAATAAATATAAAAGTATATAACATACATATTGTCTTGACATCAATTTTACTTAATATATCTTTGGCAATATCATGTAATAACTTTAGTCACTCACACTACTGCCATGTGCCATTAGTATATATTATATCAAATGGAAAGTGAACTTAATACGGAGTGTGTTTCTGATTTGAGAATGTGGGATATATTATTGCATTGTTTGAGCTTAGGAATTTAGCTTTGAATGCAAAATAATTGTCTGTATATTGAAACTAATAAATTGAATTACGTGATGATCCAGATATGTCAGACCTCCTTCAAAACTTTGTGGTGGATGTGACAACTGATGTGATTGGTGCTCTTGATGACCAAATGAGTGTGGAGTCGGCACACTGGCAAATATGCAGTCGGTTTACATCAAGTGAGACAAATATACAGCCAATCCGGAAGGTATTTGTAGCCTTGCATATTTGCATGATTGAAAATAGATATGTTATGTAGGTAACGCCTTCGATACCATTGGTAACAAGAAAAACCCCGCTTGTCTGTTCAAACTGACATTTTTAAATATATATAAAGAAGAGACAAGTTCCATAATTTGATTTTTTCTGGCATGAACTGTAAATTACAAAGCGTCCATTAATGCATGCTCGATTCTAGCCGCTTATCCGATCAATTTGAAGTTTTTCTTGATTTACAGTGTCTGGAAATTATTTTACAGTCAATCACTGTAAGGTTCAATAATTGTATACTTTTTATCCATAAAAGGAATACTGTCGAAGTCGACCTGTAGCACGGTATGTCAGAGTGAAAATAATCGGCTCTGCAAAACTAACATTGTGTGAAGTAGAAGTGTTCGGTGAATCAGGTAAGATAGTTTTCTATATTTTTTAACAATTAATTATCAAGTTTTTATTAAGCACGCTTACAGTGTTGTAATATGCATAAGTTCTTAATATAAAGAAAGTGTCCATATCATTAGTTAAGTCTTGTTTAATCTTTAGCGAACATTGCAAAATTGAAACCAGCTGAGCAAAGCAGCGAGGCAAAGGTTCAATCAACGATTGCCAATGCAGTTTCTATTGGTGAAACTGGAGCTGGACTAGCAGTTGATGGGAATACAGATCAACTGGATATCGCCGAATGTGCAACTAGCTCTACGACAGTACAATCTAATCTGACTTGGGCCGTTGACCTGCGTGGTGATTTCCTTATAGAAGAGGTCTTTATCTACGGCAGTTCAGAAACTCCATGTAAGGAACTCTTTTAAAATCTTAAAGCTCCTGAGCAAAAGATAGATGGGTGTTAACACAATTCCTAAAAATTAGGGTCGAAGCGAATTCTCTTACCTTTCTAGGAAGGTATGCGATGTCCCCTAGGCCGGCGAATCGGCAAACAATTCTAAATTTTGTTGAGAATTTATTCTTGTATTTTTGTGCTCTACTAAACATGTTTAGTTGACGTCACTCCAAAGCGGGGGTTCCCTCTCAGTTCTCAAATCTTATTTAGTCCTGATCAATTAACATTCATATATATTGTGTCAGTACACATCGATACAATCTGCTGATGATCATATAGGTGACTATCAACGTCCGGCAGTTTTCTCCAAAACCGATACAGATATCACCTTCAAATTTTCAGGGATAACTTATGAGTGCATACAGATATGGATGAAATTTTTTAAACTCGATACCTACTTCCTGTCGGCCATTTTGAAGTAAAATGCTAAAATCCTTGTCCGCAAACTTTAAGGAAAACGGCTTCACAGTTGCTTTTCAAACTTTAACATCTTGTTCAGCTCACTTCATTCTACATCTGATTAGGTTTTGGACCTGTTAGCTCAGTCATGGCAGCCATTTTTAAAAGTTAGCGTGCGATAATACTTTGTATCATATTGAATGGTGTTTTTGAGTTTTCATACTTTAACTATTTTGTAGCTTTATAAATACTTTCAGGTGTACTTTGTTGTAAAAGCCTATGTTATTGTTAATGGTAGTTATATGTGATAATTTTGTAAAAAGAAATCAGCAGAAACTCATTATCACTTTTTTATTGTCGGCCATTTTGCATTTTTTCGTCCTAAAATCTTGTTTGTAAAGTGTTGTCTACACGTTTTCAGGTGAACCGTTTGGTAGATCAATTTTAAATTTTCAGGGATGATTCTTAGTATAAAAATCAAGATCTGATTAGTTTTTTGGCATTCTGGGTAAATGTCAAGGCGGCCATTTTGGATTTTCCGTCCTAAAATCTTGTCAGTAAAGTCTTGTCTACACGTTTTCAGGTGAACCGTTTGGTAGATCAATTTCAAATTTTCAGGGATGATTTTTAGTATGAAAATCTAGATCTGATTAGTTTTTTGGCATTCTGGGTAAATGTCAAGGCAGCCATTTTGGATTTTCCGTCCTAAAATCTTGTCAGTAAAGTCTTGTCTACGCTTTTTCAGGTGAACCGTTTGGTAGATCAATTTCAAATTTTCAGGGATGATTCTTAGTATTAAAATTTAGATCTGATTAGTTTTTTGGCATTTTGGGTAAATGTCAAGGCAGCCATTTTGGATTTTCCGTTCTAAAATCTTGTCAGTAAAGTCTTGTCTACACGTTTTCAGGTGAACCGTTTGGTAGATCAATTTCAAATTTCCAGGGATGATTCTTAGTATGGAAATCTAAAACTGATTAGTTTTTTGACATTCTGGGTAAATTTCAAGGTAGCCATTTTTGGATTTTCCATCCTTAAATCTTGTCTGTAAAGTCTTGTTTACCTGTTTTCTGGTTAACTGTTTGACGGATCAATTTCAAAGTTTCTGGGGTGGTTCATAGTATGAAAATCTAGAACTGACTAATTTTATGGCATTCTGGTTAAAATTCAAGGTGGCCATTTGGATTTCCCGTCCTCAAATTGTGTCAGTAAAGTCTTGTCTACTTATTTTCAGGATAACCATTTGACAGGATCACCCATTGGTGGGGACATTTTGTACACATTTGTGTTTTTGTTATAATTTGTTTTACATTTTTCATTTGCCCAATGTGCTGAATAGCAGCTTACAGTACATGATCACATGACCAATATTGACCAATCAGGTTGGTGCTACAATAACCATATTGGTGGATGAAAATAATATGCTGGCTTTTGGACTTCACTTGTACTTTCATTTTTCAAGAATCCTTTTCATTATTCAAGTGGCTGATTACACAATAGAAACAACATTTTTGTTGGTAAATCCACCTGAAAAAAGTGCATGGGACCGGTGCACTTACCACAATGGCATCTTAACCGCAGCGACAGGTTACCAGAGTCGGGATAGGTGTGACGACAGAACTATTGGACGATGGCTCAGGATACGAATTAAGACGGGTGATCTTAAATTATGCGAAGTTCAGGTTAAGGGACGCGAAATAGGTATACATACACCAATTAATTAGTATCAACATAAATGCGTATTATAGCTGTTATAAAAATGCATATAGCTGTTATACAAAACATTTAAATAATTTCTTGATTTTGTTGTCAATATATATTTTAACAAAAGGAATGAAATGTGAAATTTATAATGCTGACAATCCAAAATAAAATGTGCACGTTTATGTAAAATACCCTATCTAATAGTAACATGTCGTGCTCTAACAAACAACAAAATACAGCATGGCATATAACAAAGGGTGCAAAATACATTTCAGAAAACCTTGCAATTGGAAAAGAGACCAAACAGCCTATTGATATAAGATCCGGTGGATTGGCGGTCGATGGAAGAATAGACTCAAATTATGATGATGGTTTCTGTTCAGCAACGTCAAATGCAAAAGGAGATCCTGCGTACTGGATGGTTGACCTGGGGGCAAAGTACCATATCGACACTGTAGTAGTATTCAACAACAACGGTACTCCCAAAAAATTTATCTTATCTCATCAAAACTTGTCATTGTCTTAAACAAATAATCTGAACATATACAATATATAGAAAGTCTTTATTTTTATATGGACACTTGTTTGTTTGTCATGCACATTGCACAATTTTAAAATCAACGTTTTATTACTTTCTTTTCTTTACATTGGTATCTTCAGGAGGTTGCCATTTGACCGAATGTCCCCAATCGATTGGATACACTATTGAAATGTCAAATCCACAATCTAACGACTTCACGGTCCTCACGGACTTCGCAGTCCCCTGTTCAGGGTTCATCACCGGTTGGGAGTATTATCGCCATACAAACGAAGAGCCATTCTGGATAGCGGTGCTAATACCAAGTGGTGCTTCCCTATATACTGTCCGACATATTGAAAAGATTCCTATTACGGAGCAAGGTTTTACTCAGTTTACTAGTTCAGGCCTGAAGGTAATTTACTTCATGTTTTAATATAATTGTTACTATTGTTACATAATGCATATTCAAATTAAAAAGGTTTGGTTTTAACTTCGATTGAAGATATTTTGAAGGGGGACTACAATGGTAAATTTAAGGCCCCGAAACAGCTTCATTTAACATAACATAATATTGCAAATTCTCTTGTTAATATTAGGTCAAAGTCGAGGCTAATTATATCTTGGACAAAATTGATATATCCTTATTTTATTTTGAGGACTATATTCTTGTAGGTGGAAAAAGGAGACGTTTTTGGCTTGATCTTCTCACAGTATACCATCAAGGGAGGAATAGGAAATGCGAACACTGGTCAACTGCCAACATTGGGACCGGAAGAGCCATACTATTCAACACTATATATTGGTTCAATAAATATTGAAAATACGAACGTTGGTGATGTTGTCGACATGACGAGTGGCACATCTGAATCGAAAGGATATTCACTAAAACCAATATTTTCATATGGTTCGCTACTTTTTTATTAATGATTTATTTCCATATATAACTAACATATCACATACATGTCTGCGGCTTTGCAGAACTGGATTCAAGTAAACAAGTTTGTAAGAAGAAAATTGGCAATAAATTTGTTTGCTAAAATCAATTGCAGAATACATTACTGTCCTTTCAGATGACTGCTCTGCAAAAGACTATTCCATTGAGGTTGCTGATGAAATCATTAATTATAACGATCTTGAAACAAGTGAATGGGACGCATGCGCATCAAACGCGGGACGAATAATATCTGGGGTAGGCCTACTACAACGAGAGGCATGTCGAGAGTTGACAACTGGCCAATTCGTTCGTATTAAATTGTCCGAAGATTCAATGGATGATAGATACCTGGTTTTGTGTGAAGTGAAGATATTTGGATCAAAGAAAAGTGAATATTTTTTTCAGAACATCATCCAACCTAGATGTAATCATTAATCATTATATACAAGATGATCCAAATACACCGTTGCTTATATATCTTGAATACTTGGCACTATATATTGGGCACTAACATAACAGTTACAAAAAGTATTTGAACGAAAGTATACAAAACAGCATGTTTAGAAGCATATTTTAGAAAACTACTCAATCTCAAGAATACGCTCTATTTAATGGAAATGAAAAAATGTGATCAGTTAAAAAAGTGTTTGGTTCATTTTTCGACCAAATTGTGAAAAAATATTTGAAAAAGCTGTATTCGTTAAAATTATGGAGCATATTGGAATCAAAAATCACGATCAGTTGTTTAATTGAAATTCATTGCATATGTGCAACGGTACGTGTATCAAACCTTTAACTTTAAGATGACTTTCTTAGTTGTTGTTGACCCTTCTTGAATCACTTTTTGCAGATGTAGTGTTCAGCTTGAGCAACATTGTTACGGTGTATCACACATCTAGGACAAATTGATTTATAAGATCATGTTTTCCGTCCAGATTTGCGCTCATGCTTCATCTTTAAAAACATGCACGACATGCTAAATAACCAAATCATTTAGTTAAGTTTAGTTTAGTTAAGACAGATACAATAAGTCCAACTTAGCTATAAATTACCTGTATACTACACATAACGTATAAAAACATAAACGACATGCTAAATAACAGGAGAAAAACACATACATTGACTGAATATACAATTATGCTTTAAGATGAAGTTTCTGTTGTTGGTAAACCTACCTACCCAATTCCAACCCCACGTAGTGGACCTGATGGCGGAGTTGCTGTAGATGGATCCATACCTGCAGTTGATCCGTGTCTGCCATCTGCATTTGAATCGTCCACAACCGAGCCTTATTGGATGGTAAATGTTGGTGAACAATTGGACATTGAGAGTGTTGTGTTTTGCTCGCCACGCACTGGTATGCAATGCAACGCATACCCCTCACAAATTTGCAACCCGAAACCCTCATTAAATAACGTGACGAAATATATTTTTTCTAAAATCCTTTGTTTTTTTTAGTCCTTATGAATCTAATAGCGATATATCTTAAATACTGCAATCAGGGTTTATTCAATTTGAGAATGAATAATGCACATCGAGGGTCGCTAGCCCTAATGCTAGAATGTCTTCAAGAGTGATATGCTATTGAAGTTTTAATGTTTTTCCTGACTGATAATCTGAAATTTAAATCAGAATTTTTAACAGTTGTATTTTTATAGAAATGTCATTTTACCGCCTGATAATCTTCATATACCGCTGTTCTAATACAGCAGTACAAGTAACTAGATAATCGAGTGAAAATAAGAAATACATTTTACGATTATTCCCGTTTAACACATTTCGAACCAATCGGCAGTCTTTTCATAGATCAATACTTATTAAACTTTTACAGGTTGAACCAAAATTTAGATTCCTCTCTCATAATTTTAGAAAGTGCGATAACTGATGTTGCCGTGGACATAGTGACTGCCAGATCTTATGAACTCTATGTGAATGGTGAAAGGTTACGGACATTTTCTGAGGAGCCAATTGATAATTCGTACCTAGATGCTCAGCATATTACTGTCGACACAAATCCAGACGCTGTCCGTGTAATTGCAATTGAAGGTAATGTAATTTAAATTTTATATGAATTTAAAACGCTTGAATGCTTACCTGTCAAGTCCAGATTTGTTTCGGGAGAAATCGAAAAAGAATTTTATGAATTTTTATATTACAGGGTGTCAAATAAGTCCCGTCCCCCCTCTACAGCCAAAACCAAGATATTTGGTACCAAGTGTGATATCTCATTGGAAAGGTCTTCCAAAGTTACGTTGATTGGCATATATCCGACACATGTCAATCAGTCTCACAAATTTTTACATTGTATCAATTGAGGTGACCATATGCCTAGAAACATGGCAATTTGGCGTATTTGGCAGGATTTTAAGAATCGGGTATAAGAAAGGTCAAGGGACCAAAAGATGACTAAATATGTTTATGGCGATGAATTTTACCAATTTCTGGATGGGGTTAGATGTGTAGAAAATGGAGGTGCAAGGAAAGTGGTGAAAACCTTTTTGTATCTAGTGGAATGCAAAAAAGATTAACTTTTTGACGTATTTCTGATGTCATATCCTTGTCATTTTGACGCAAAATAGCTACTTAAAGGAGGGCACGTTAACTATAAAAGACATCATAGCAATATAGGTAAATGTCATCCAAAATACTTGAGAGTTGGTGAATTAACATAACTTTGGATGATCTTTCCAATGGTATATCACACTAGGTACCGTCTGTTAAGGTTTTAGCTGTAGCAGGGGGATGGGACTTATTTGACACCCTGTATAGTATATTATATTTTTCTTAAAAATCCAAATTTTAACGGAATGTCTTTCGAATTCTTTGGCTACTACCAATGTCAAGGCCGTTTCAATAAGTAAACCTAATCTTGCTCTAAATCTTTAATTCTTTATCATCCGCCATTCATTATTTTATCTCATATCTTATGTGATGGTGACAACATTTGAAGAACTATATTTATTTTTTTCTGATATTGCAAGGTTCTTAATTAATGAAACTGACATAGGATAGCAGAGTTTAAATCAATGAAATGAGTCAAATATTTCACTGTATATTGTTTAGAGATTTCTTTTAAATTTTAATTGCTCTTTGCTGAAATCCTCCATAATTAAACATAACTAATACTATCAGTTATCACACGTTTTAGCATGTGATACAGGAAATATTCCACGAAAGGTAATACTGTATCATCCACGAAAGCGAAGCTTGAGTGGTGATACAGTGTTACCCGAGTGGAATATTTCATGTATCACATAAGCTGAAACGTGTGATGACGATTTTATCACATGTCTTGGAATTTTGAGGCATTTTGATTTGGTCAGTTATGATTGTTTTCAGTACTCTGTACTCCTGGTAACTATTATAATTTTTGATTTCGCTTTGAAACAATATGACGTCATACCGTTGTATTCGTACTTTTTTTGAAATAGTATGACGTCATATTGTTTTCCTTAGCTAAAAGTGATATAATCAGTGACGTCACATCGTCATCGTCTCTAGTAACGTGTGAGACGGCCGTGTGAGACGGGAAAACTCACACGGTAATCAACCAATCAGATTACTGGAATTTTACAGAGCATGTGATAATAAAATTGACAAATAATTACAATTATAGTTTTCAAACAGGACATATTTCTGGCTTTTCTGGGTTTTACTTACAACTACATGGGATTTGCTACTCCGTTTTATAAATGATGAATTATTTTGAAATAATACGATTTTTGTATATAGTTTCATGTCACGTGTTATACTTATCATAAAGTATCTGTCAATGTCAACCGCTAGTTTGACAAGTATTGTGGTCATTTCCAATAGTAGTGAGACCTCATCGATACTATACAGGCCAGGGTATATGTATTTTACATTATGCCCCGGTGCAATAAGAACAGAAAACTTATAATGTCCAGTTCGAAAGTGTCTTTATCAGATTATCTTATGGAAGCCACAATTGAACAAAAATAAAACACCCTTGGTACACGAACTCTTTTTGTGTTTAAATTTACGATCCAAACATTTTGGTCGATATGTTTTAGGAAGAACGTCTAGGTTACCACTGGGTCTCGTATCGGGACCTCTTAATTCAGTTGTGGATGACAACATCTGTTCTACGTTAGTGACTGAACCCGGACAGGGACCAGATCGCGCACGTCTTTATATATTTCCTGTAGTATAGTAAGGACAATTAACTTTAATAATTGTATAATTATCAGTATATATATATATACAGGGTGTTCCATATGTTTCAGGAATGATGCTGTATTTTAGTGGTTTTCTTTTCAATCGAGCTGAATTATTAACAAAATGTGTCCAAATATGTTGTGAATAAGTTGGGAAAGTATCACATCATGAAGCTCAATAGACTTAATGATACAGTTGCTATAGTAACCCAGGAGTAGGATTAGGTGGAGCAGGTGTGGCAACGCGCAAAACATGAAATATTTGTAAAAACAGTAGTTTTTTGTATGAAGTGTTAGAAAGTATTAGGTTGTCATAGTGACATCAAGATTGTCAAAAAATTAAAGCAAAAATTAAGGTGGATTCTTTGAAATTAAAAAATTTAAAAATGGCATTGTTTTTGGAATCACAATTGACAACCATGGCATGACATGGCATGAGTCACAAAGGAGAATGATCACTGGTCATTTTGGCTGAGCCTGCAGTCATGTCAGATGTTTTGGATTATCTGTCTCAGATTCCCTTGATTTGAATCCCTTATACCACTCATACACTCTTGAGGTTGTTCTCATTAAGTCCCCATATGTACTCCCAAGGTATTTAATTTTAACTGCTGCAGAAAACTTATTTTTCACTGTCTTAGACTGTCGTGCGTTACCTTAGTTGAAATTCTTCATTTACTGATGACATTTTCACTTTTCAAGATGGCCACTCAGTCAAAATGACCGTCCTGTGATTATTCTCCTTTGGTACCCATGACATGACAGGTTTTTCAATTGTGATATATCATCGATAATGACAATTCTTTTTAATTTCCAGGAATTCACTTTCATTTTTGCTTAATTTCTGACTTTTATGCAACTATAAAGACCAAATACTTACCCACACTTCATACAAAAAACGACTATTTTTATAAATATTACATATATTTTGCCAGTTTACACCTGCTCCACATACCCTACCCCTGGGTTACTATAGCAACCATATTATAATTAGATCTACTGACTTTCATGATATAAAACTTTCTCAATTCATTCACAACTAACTTCAACACATTTTATCAAAAATTCAGCTAGATTGAAAAGAAAACAACTAAAATACAGCATCATTCCTGAAACATATGGAACACCCTGTCTATACAAATATACAGGGTGGTCTAAAAAAGTGAACCCCTGCAACGGGCCATATTTCCCTTATTACTTTCAGGAATCCTTTCATATTTTCACATATTGTAGAGGAAGGTCTAAAATTTTTGTTGGTACCATACATTTTTCTTAGTCTTGGAGTTTGCAGAAATTATAAGCCCTAACCAAATATTACTGAAAATGGATAAAATGTGATTTTCAACATCCGCGATTCTTCAACCCATCAACACCCTTCCCTTGACAATTGTTTTAGCTGCTGTCTTAAAGAGCTATTATTTTCTGACTTTGTTTGGTTATGAATCACGCACATTATAGCGTAAAAACTAGCATCCTACCTCTGTTAGTTGCAAAGATATTGTGATCCAAAGAAATGTTCTAAGTTTCCATAGACGAACATTTTTTCCAGCGAAATCGCAACATACCCCTATATGATCTTGAAATGTCAATATCTTCATTAATCATGGACCAATTCTAGTGAATTATGACTCAAAACATTGAATATTAGATTTTCTTTTGATTTTTTAAAGATATTTGATGAAGGGGTTCTCAGACTCCTGGTCACAGGGGGCAACTTTGCCCCCCTCTATCCATTTGTGTAGGTAACATGCCCCTTAACTGTTGAACAATTAGAACTGCTTCAAAATGGTCAATGGACGTGTGAAATGTGTTTTCTGCTCAAATAGTATCCAATTTGTCATATGGTAGGGTTTTAAACTTGTATCTCTAACTGAAAGCTGTTTTAAGAATACCTAACATGTTTCAACAATTTCCATGAATTACGTTGGTAAAATTTTGCACAATCTAATTTTCAGGCATGTTCGTTTAAGTCTTGTAATTTCTTAAAAATTTAAGACTGAGAATAAATGATGGCATCAACAAAATTTTTAGACCTTTCTCTACAACATGTGACACTATGAGGCAATTCATGCAAGTATTATGGAAACTATAGCCTGTTGCAGGGGTTCACTTTTATTTGGACCACCCTGTATATAATTAACTGTATTTTATTTTAATTCCATTTTTCGCTTCACATTGAATAATACAAATGTTTTTCGACTATTTGAAATTTAGCATCTATTGTTAATTTATGATTATAGTAAAACAGAAACGTTCCAGACTACACCAATAGAAGAGACAAGCGCAGATACAAGACCAGTTGCACCAAACCCATACCTTCAAATAGATCTGAAATCAACATTAAATGCAAACGTAATGTTGTCTGTCGTTAAGTCCATAACAACGTATGGTGCGCTGATTTATGGCGTTGAGCACTTCACGACTGCTTTTGCACTTACTTACAGCACCGATGGATATACATTTACTGACTATGGTCAGGTGGTGAGTATTCTGTAAAAAAGATTGGGAGGAGTTTCATCACGCATGCGCGTACCGTTTGTCTTTTTTACATGGTTTTACAATGGTAGTTTTAATGAGTTCCTATCTTATCTTGACGCAGTGATATTTAAAAATCTAAAAGCAAACCAAATGTAAATATAGTGTTAAGATTAAAGTTAATATGGAAGGAAACGCAAAGCTACATGTATGTCCATTATATATGGGTTGTGATTTTTAATGAATTGCCGTACGTGACACCTAAACCTGAACATTTTGGATGTTACTCGAGAAAAATTATTTCAAAATTTGAAGCCCATTTTCAAAATTTTCCACTTCCGTGAGAGAAGGGATTTTTTCAGAGAGATACTAGCAACTTTGGGCGGGTAAGATTAACCATCTCTTCAGATTTTTAACCACCCCTACGGCCTCCCAGTGTCTCACTGTACAAGCAGGCAGGTTTATGGTTACTATTATGACATGACGTCTTGATTTCAGTTTGAAGGTAATTCAGTATTAGATTACAATACTACCGGAAAAAGCAACACGTTCAACCCAAATTTTATTGCGAGATATGTGAGGATTTATATTCTCAATAGAAAAGGAAATGACGATTTACCAGTCGGAGCTGCGTTGCGTTTGGAACTGTTTGGTTGTGCTTTTGGTAGGTTTACGTTTATATACTATTTACGCCACTTACCGTGATTAGTATCAACCCCAAGGTATCGACCGAGTCAATAAATCCCTGTGAAGTGAACCCCCAGAGTCAACCAGCAGAGGTTCCACCCGGTTCATTTAATCTTTTTTGATTGAACAAAACAGAGACGCATGAATTAGAAATTACAGAAGTTTTCGATAGTATAAAAACCATGCCGGACTTTTTAGTAGCCTTTACTTAAATATTGTAGAACGTTAGAAAAAAGATATTTCGGAGTCTTCACCGATTTCAATAACATCGTACAGGGTGACACAAAAAGTGCCACCCACATCATATTAAATAACTTTTTCGTCTATGATTCCTGGCTTTCTTTTTTGCAAAGTAAAACTAAACTTCATGGAGCAGCTCCACGAGAAGTTTCAGATGACTAGCTCAACTGGATGCACTTTCGTGAGCGTTATAAGATTTTCTCTAAATGTCAGGCACACCTGGATTCTATGGGTAAAGTTATTGACAACCCTAACACATTCCCCCACAGAAATGGCCCTGATCTTTCATGTGATCTCTATCTTCAGGTGTTCTATGGTTTGGGGGTTTATAACATACAAATGATCCATCAAGTACACCCAGAGATAAAAATCGTGCGGGTTTATATCAGGCGAGTGCGACTTTGCCAGTAGACTCCAGAAGTACCTGCAATGGAATAGATGACATTTAGATCACATCTTGTAACCATTATAAAAGTCCATATAATTGATCTTGTCATCTGAAACTTCTTGTAGAGTTGCTCCTCGAAGTGTTATTTTAATGTGCGAAAGAAGAAGTCAGGAATTATATAGACAAAAAATGATATTCAACTTGAGGTGCATGGCACTTTTGTGTCACCCTGTATTTGATCAGAACTGGATTCGAACAAAATTACTACTTTGTAAATAGAATAATCATTGGATGGAGTGCTTTTTGCGTTAAACTACTAAGGTAGTTGCGTATGTTCAGAAATTTTAATGGCTTCCTGATTCTATCTAATGTATTTCTTCTGAAGGCCGACCGAATTGTAGTACCGAGTCTGACAATCTTTTGGACGTTGTTGGTACCTCTGGATACACGGCGTCTGCATGGTGCTTTGATGACGACGAAGGTCGGTCAAACTATCCATTCATGGCTGACTTCTCTCAAACCCCAGTGTATGTATTCATTTGCAACAACGAATTATGCAGTCTCTTATCTAATATCTTTGATCACTAAAATGTCTGTTTATTTTTAGCAATTGAACAGAATTTATCAAAGTAATAGATTTAGGAATTATTGTAATTCAAAAGAACAATTAAAATAAAGATCCATAATGAGAGGCTTTGATATCTTATGGAAACGTTCAGATTGAGACTTATAGAGGGGAGTGTAATCAATACATATCATTTATGATTTTTGTAGGACTTTTAAAAGTATATCAGGCTGGGTACCGAATACTTTAGACACTTACCACTTTATACAGGCGGACTTGGGTCAATTGTTTGTTATACGTGGCGTGCAAACAAGAGGGAGGGGTGATACATTGGATAATTCAGTACTGCAATATAAGTTACAGTATATCGACAAAATGACTTGTTCATTTGTCGACTATGAGGAGCCACATGGCTCTGCAAAGGTAATACATAAGGCATATATTGTAATGAAAGATATCACTTCTCATTTAGCATGTAATAATGTCACTATATAAACTCATTTAGACCCAATCTTGCTCTAAATATTTAATTCTTCACAATCCACCATTCATTATTTTATCTCATTATCTTACAACATTTGACGAACTATATTTTATTTTTTCTGATATTGCAAGGTTCTATTATTAATTAATGATATGTTTTATGTGAAACTGACAGAGGATAGCAGAGTTAAATCAATGAAATGAGACTGTGCATATACAAAATATGTATATATTGTTTAGAGATTTATTTTAAATTTTAATTGCTCTTTGCTGAAATCCTCAATAATAAAACATAACTATTAATACTAAAAGTGACAAATAATTTGATTGTACGGCGCTTTATAATGGATGGGAGCTTGGTACTTTCCCTAAGGTCGCAGGAACAAGCTGTCTTGAGGTGCTATTTATTGTTTTAGTATTGCATGAACAATTTTGGATCGGCGGAGAGGCATCTGAATTCGCATGATTCTAGTGCCTAACTTAAACAACATAACTATCCAATAATTGAAAAACAACGGCTTTTAATTTCTTAATTTTCAGATATTTGCCGGGAACTCTGAATATCCAAACAATACAGTAACACATTTTCTAGAATTTCCCTTTGTCAGGCAGTGTGTCCGTATACGGCCAACAGTATATGGTGGACTTGGGGGACTGAGATTTGAAGTACTCGGCACTGAATTTGGTGAGTGACTGTATACATCTATCCATCTATCCATCTATCCCATTGTTTCGTGATATATTTTATTTAATAGTTGCCTATTAATGGGAATATTGTATGAATATGATCACATGTGTTTATCACAATTTTCTATTCAAGCATTGGAATACATGTGTAGCACCCCACATGGACATGTATATTGTATAATTATGTTCATTTACGAATATTGTGGCAAATCTGCAAAGCCGCACACATGTGTATGTACATGCAACATGTACTAAGTTCTATATGGAAATAAATCGAAATAAAAAACACGCGTACGTCAGATTACACAATTTATAAGCAAAACAGGTAATCAAAACAAGCAACTGGTGTTGCAATGATTGCTCTTGTTTCCGTTGCAGAAAACCTTGATTTCTACACAATTCGAGATGATAGCAGTGGCTCGGATATTTCCAATCACAGAAATGTGAACAGGGAAGAATGTGCGATATTATGTGAACAGCTGGAGGATTGCCAAGGATTTATTTATGATTCTGATCCTCTTTCTATTCCGTGTACTCTAAGGAATTTTGATGCAATGACGACCGTCGGCATGCCCATGTATTATAAAAATGAAGGTACATGACGCAATCAATTTAATCCATAGATCGAAAGACAAACAAAGCTTATTAGTGGTCAACGTTTCCCAAACACTCAGATACCCGATTGTAAAAAGTCAAAATAACTATTTGGTCAGTTTTCTTTCGATTCGTATACTTCCGGTTGAATGAGTAGGACGTTTTAGCTTGCAATTTTCACAACCTAAATGGGAATGGAAAATATTTAAGCGACGCATTTGTATGGTCGATTGGTCATACGTATAGGTTGGCGTTTCGATTTTTTGTACAAGCTTAAACTCTCTTATATCGAGAGAGCGATCTACACTAACAAAATTATTTTATTTATTTTAGAACCGGCGCCATCTAATGGTTTTGTAGACCTGGGCTTCCAAGTATGTATTCCTTCTTCCAATGATGTGGTTATCACCAATGTCTTAACCTATGACGAGTGTAAACAGTTATGTCTAGATGAAACCTCTATCGTTTGCTGGTCGGTGGAGTATGGAATGCAAGGGGGCTCGAATTCATTAAACTGTCAGTTATCAGCCCAATATTCAGGGACAGTCACAATTATGAATCCATGTGAAGCAGATGTGTTTTATTCCGAAAGGATTCCAAGTAAATGAATAAGTTGTTTTTTATTTTAATAAATTATATGTGTGTATTAAAAACGCCAATGACAAGATTTACGAGAACATCTTAAACTATGACGAATGTAAGAAGTTATGTCTGCGTGAAACCTCTTTCGTTTGCTGGTCTGTGGAGTATGGAATGCAAGGGGGCTCGAATTCATTAAACTGTCATTTATCAGCCGAATATTCAGGGACGGTTAATCTTGAGGATCCATGTGTAACAGATACAGACATGTCCTATTCTGAAAGGATTCCAGGTACTTTATTGTAAATGAGCCAATGTCCCTCTTTTTGCCTCATTTGTTGGCGTAACAGTTTTGATAATGTCCTCGGTCCAAGCTCTTTGGCGCTGAATCGCTTTGGCTATATATACACGTATTTGGAAGCCCAACTGTTCTGGGCTACCCAAGTGTTCTGACTCTTGCCCAACTGTTCTGACAACCCAAGTGTTCCGAGATCGCTTATTTTATAATATCTTATAATTCACAAGAGAGGGTTCAAAAAATTTTGCTGGAAAAATGCTCGGATGAAAAAAGAGAGTCCTAAAATGTTGGCTCGTCGAAAGTTTTGACCCAATTTTTAAAAATATGGATCCTTTTTAAACAGCGTTTTTTAAATCGAGGCCCATTTTTCAAAATGCCCATTTTCCAAAAATGTTGAAATTGAGACCCAGCCTAAATATATTGATATATTCTGTCTAAATATTCTATTGCTCAGGAGTGTCCCATGGTCGCAAAAGTCGAACTGAACCGGAGATTTTACATTCCCCAATGGGTACCCTGTTCGTTTATATGAATAAATGGAAAGCCTTTTGTGCACGAGGCAGCCACATTATAAGTGGTTTCGTTGGCTTAATTTCAACAGTCACCTCTGTAGAAACCTAAAATTGATATTAGAAATTGCGTATTGAGTGTATTTGATAAATGCTATCATGCTATGAAATGCTGGACAGGGTCATAACAGACTTAAAGTGCGAGTAGCCACAGTAATTCAGCGCCAAAGAGCTTGGATGAGTACATTATGAACCATGAAACCCATCCTGCATGTGCCAATCCTAGTTTTTTGATTTTGCAATGTGATGCCAAATATATCATACTAGTACTAACTTACACGCAGCATATGACTACGATCCCGAGCTTTATGGAATATTGGCATCTGCCTGGAATGGAATTGTGACCAACTCTAGTTGGAAATGCTCTGGCACGTTCGAGGAAGGGTGGTTTGAAGTAGATTTTGATGATAGGTAATCTTACTCAAAAGTTGCATAGTTTTAAAGTTTGATTATAACACTCAATCGGGCAAATTAATGTAACAGGGAGAACGAATCCCCGATGACAATAATTCTACACGTACAACCTCAATTTCTCTTAAAACGTGTAGCTTGATCTCTCTTATATCAACTAATATCTACGTTATTTTGTATAGTGCTTGGGCAGCTGCTGTGGAAGTTAGTACTAATAAGTCAACATTTATACCCGACGTCACTGGGAAATCATGGGATAACATTGCCGAAAATGCCAAGGGAATTTGGACAAATGGCATGGACGACGTTGTGTACTGTCGTCTAGGTACATTTTATCTTCAGTATGCAAAGCTTGTTTTTTTTAACCAAATGAAAATATAACGAAAGATTTCTTCATTATTGAAGGCATGTAGGAAATACATAAATACAACGGTAGAATGTAAAAAATCGCGAGAGATTTTGCCAATTTTTGAAAATCAGCTTATTATTGTGTGTAATCATCCAGGAACAATTAAAATGGAATATGCCATTTTCTTAAGTTTCCAAACTGTCATTATTTTCATAGCCATCTCAATCAGTGATGTGCCAACCGACGATTTTAAGGTGGATGTTTCCAACGATGTTGCCGACCCAACGTCTCCAGATGATAGCGACTGGAACTTATGCCAAGCTAAAGTTGGAGGGTAATGTTTTTTCATAGATTCTTTGACCCGTGTTGTTATAATAATTGAAATGGTGATACCATTTAGATTTTTTGCATTACTTTTGCAGTCATGACTGTTACATATCAGGGAATTCTGGGTGAAGATGACATGGATATATTTATTCAGGGAGACCATGTTTATTCTAACACCGGTCTGTCAAAGTCGCATCGGTCTCCCTTAAAATTTGTAGGTTCGATTTTGGCAGAGCTTGTCATGTAGCAGAATGCGAATTCGGAACAATTGGACAATGGATTCGTATATCACAAGAACATGGTACGCTCAGTCTTGCAGAGGTCAAGGTCAATGTCAGGTCATCATGTTCAAGGTCACCAAGAGGCTGCTGTGTAGATTCTCTACCGAATGGTCTCGAGAGCTGTGAATGCCGAAATACCGATGAGACAAGCGGTTTGCAGTGCATCCCAAACCAAGGTAATAACTGCTGAAGTAAAATGCGCTCAAGGGTTGATATGTCATCCTACGGTGTCCTAGCTAGATATCTTTGTGTTGTTCAATGAGTTTTTTCATACAATTGAATAAGACATGTTCAAGATCTCAAAATCGTAGCACTTTAAGACTGAATATATCATGGTCTTGGTTGCCAAATATGAATCCACGTGAATAGTGAATATATGGGGGAAAGTAGAAAATGAAAGTGGCCTTCAAGCCAAAAAACTCTAAGAGCCAGTTATTCCCGATGAAGGATCTAGACGTCCAGTCCAATTTTCAAATTTCCCGCCATCGTACCTGACAAAGTCCAATGAATGTAGGACGAAATATTTAGAGTAAGATTTATCCTAAAAACGTCTGTGATAGATGAACTTTTGTTTGTGTATGCGTTCTTGTACTATATTTATTCCACAAATGCATTGACATTTGTTAAAGATGTTTGTGATCCTGGTTGGGTCCTGTTTGAGGATAAATGCTACAAATTCCCATTTGCTGACCAGATTTTAACCGACCAAGTGGATGCCGAGGAGGAATGTCAGGCCAATGAGGCACACCTCGTCTCCATATTGACCCCTCATGAACAAGATTTCCTTATCAGTGAGCGTTTTCTGTATTCGTTTACAATGTTAAACCGTAGGTTATGTCATGAATAAATGATACAACGCACTCGTTTTTATCGTTCAACGCCAAATATACGAAAATTGAAAGAAATATTGATAATATTCAACAAATCCAATCGAAACTTTACACTAAATGGTGTGCTAGTCATTCACATAAGTTACGTAATTTTTGATTGAAAAAAGTAATATGTTATTTAAATAACATCATATAAATGGATTCGCAAAAATGACAGACCATGAAATGACGAGATATTGTTTATCACAAAAGGAATTATATAACCAGTGGATAAATATTGGGGAAGTCAATCAATAGATTAAATTCAGGTTCCTTCATTTAAGATTTCTTTTTTCAGATCACCAATCAGTTGTGCAATGTTGGGGGAATGAGGTCCAAGGAACAACAGGATCCAACTCGGAATTCTATTTACCAAACACTGCATTTTCCTCATCTAGTACTCGTTTTCAAGGGGGACCAAGTCCCTATTATTTTTACCCGGAATATGCACGAATAGATTTTACAGGAAATGGAGGGTTAGTAGAAATATTGAAAATTTAATACATGTACAATTGTCTTCATTTAAAATGTAGGACTTCGTACCCAGCTTGATTTAGGGTAGCTTCTCATTCATTCCCACGTGAACAAATGACCCATATGACTGAAAGGTAATGCTGGAACATGTATTTAACCATGAATAAAGTTATAGACGCTGGCTGAAATTGTAAACTGCAAAATTATGATACGTGATTTAATCCAGTTGGGAAAAATGAGAGTGACTGTTAACTTACTTTAGATTCAACGATATCGCGTTAAATCACGTTAGCTTATGAAACACAACATAACTATTCGAATATCACACCTTTAATTTATTAATATGATCAGTTCTTTTACTTAAGAGTTGAACGTGGCAATTGTTGGTGCTCTCAAAATAGTCCAGCACCCGGTGGATCCATCGAAGTTGATTTCGGCAAGGTGTTTTACGTCAAACGACTTGTCACGACCGGAAAAGGCACCGCTGATACGTATGTCTCTGTATATGACGTAGAGTATAGGGCTAACGCTGGAGTCTCTTGGACGACTATTTCTGTGAGTATTACGAGAACATATTACCCTTTGATAACCTAACATAAATGTTTGAGTCAATTAATTGTCTGTCGTTTACACGAGGGTTGTCCAAAAAATTAGAGCAAAACTTTCAAGACTTTTTGTACAACCCTCGTATATGCTTCAATTATATGTATGTCCAGATATCTATTGATCTATTAAATAGAAACATGCATTAGTATGTAAAATTATTTTATTTCTGGTTGTTTAGGGACTTTCTGGAAATGTTGATGATACATCCCCAAAGGAAAACTCGTTTAGTCCCGTACTATTTGCCAGATTCTTCAGAATTAAGCCCACTACGTATATGGGAACCCAGACATGTTTAAGCTTTGAAGCCTATGGCTGCGAATTAGGTATTTATATTTCTCAATTAAGATCAAGATTTTTGTAACTATCTAGTAATTGATGAACAATTTGTCATGAAATTATCTTTTTGAAGATGATGAACTATGTCCTGGTTACGGACTAGTGTCTGGGCCTCTTAACTATGTACCAGATGGTTCAATTAATGCTACTACCAGCACTGTCGTCCCTGATTTCCAAAGCTATAGGGCGAGAATAACATCAGAAGTTGAACCGTAAGCAGAATGATATGATATATGATAGATGATATGATACGATATGATATGATATGATATGATATGATATGATATGATATGTGACGTAGCAATATGTAAATTTGATAATCGATTTTTTCGATTCTATCCTACTTTTTAAAGGTACCGAATTGATTACTTTTCTTAAAGAATTGAACCAGGATCTTGGTCGGCTGGAAATTTAGACCAAACACAATATATCCAAGTTGACCTTAAGTCTGAGCGGACCATCACCGGCATAACAACAAAAGGACGCGAAGGTTCGGCTCCTGAAGAATATGTTACCACTTATCTATTACGCTATGGCGATGATGGGATTACGTTCACAACATATTCCCAGGTATGGACCTTTAGTACAACCTGAGACTAACAGAAAAAGATTCCGGTCAAAGTCAGCGTCGTATTCCATAGACACTAACCAGAGATCTAGAGTAGTATTAAGAACGATTCGAACATTTTGCAAAATGGTGAGTTTTCCTATTCGAATCGTATTATAGACCTTAGATCAGTTATAATATCGAGTAATAAATACCTTAGGGCTAGGAATAAAAGCTTTCGAATCCCTCACTTCCTTCTGTCGTTGGGGGTACAGAAAACGTTTAATTTGTTCCCAGCCCTCCGCGCGTTCTTTGAAGACTTTGGACCTAAGTAAGCCCTGTGGTATTTATTCGTCGATATAATACCTGCTCTTCGGTCTATATTTCTTAAATACATAATAGTATACTGTTATCAATAGATTTTTCCGTTTTTGATTCTGTGTTTAATAATGGCAGTGTGTTTTGTAGACACTGACTGGTAACACTGATGCGACAACGCCTGTGACGAATAATCTGTCACCAAGTGTTAAAGCCCGATTCGTTCGTCTTAACCCACTCGCATGGAATCAACACATCTCTATGCGCTTTGATATTTTAATTTGCTTTCCAAGTACGTACAACAATGGGTATTTCTCCATTTTTTATTTCATTGACAGATTCATAGCTTTGTTTTTTCATGGAGAAGCTTCATCTTAATTTAGTCATAAGATTGGCTTTTATATAGACATTTCGCAATGATTACCGGATGGGAGGTTGTCGTTTTGTACAGTTTGCAAGAACGAATAATGCGATGTAAGGATTTGATTGATAAATTCTGATTGTTTAAGGCATGAGTATAATTACTTAGGATTTGAATTGATATGGGTACATTCGTTAGTCGTCCTACAAAAAGCACCCCACTTTTCAAATTCCAAAATGTTGAAACGTTGGGCAGTACCATTTCACCGAGGATGATACTTTATATTCAGTTGTGCATTTCATTAATTTCATTGCACTTAGGAGGACCACTTTATGATAATGTTTGGACGGGTCTGCAGCTAGACGGCACACAAACCAATTTAATATGGACAGATGGGTCGTTGGTGAGTCCACCTTTTGCCCTACCTAGCTAGGTATTACAGTACAGGGCATCTCACAAGTAATGTAGCTATTCTCTAAATATTTATTGGACAGAGAAGCAATATAATCCCACTGCTACAAAAGACAATTGATAGAGGTTTTCAATGGTAACAGGACAACTCATCCCTAAGACAACTCATCCCAAGACGACTCATCCCCAAGACATCTCATCCCAAGGCAACTCATCCCAAGACAACTCATCCCCAAGACAAGTCATCCCAAGACATCTCATCCCTAGACATCTCATCCCAAGACAACTCATCCCAAGACATCTCATCCCAAGGCAACTCATCCCAAGACAACTCATCCCCAAGACAAGTCATCCCCAAGACAAGTCATCCCAAGACATCTCATCCCTAGACATCTCATCCCAAGACAACTCATCCCAAGACATCTCATCCCAAGACAACTCATCCCCAAGACATCTCATCCCAAGACAACTCATCCCAAAGACATCTCATCTCAAGACATCTCATCCCCAAGACATCTCATACCAAGACAAGTCATCCCAAGACATCTTATCCCAAGACGACTCATCCCCAAAACATATCATCCCAAGACAACTCATCCCAAGACAACTCATCCCAAGACAACTCATCCCAAGACATCTCATCCCAAGACATCTCATCCCAAGACAACTCATCCCCAAGACAACTCTTCCCAACTTGAAATATAACATAATTTTAGACAATTAATTTCAATTTTTGAAAGAATATTTGAAACATTTTAGAGATTTTAGCAGTAAGCACACTTTGTTTGACCATGGAATATATTTTGTATTTTGTAGTTAGTCTAGTTTTAGTTAATTTTTGTTGATTGATTGGGATAAAGATAAACATGTTCAAATTAATATGTACTTTGATTAGTAAATCAAAGATCATCAAGGGTGTCAGATTAGGATTAACGCAATAAGAATGTATTATCCGGGGTATTATCAGAATAATTCTCCTAGATTGATTCAGTCTTTGTTTTAAAATATTTTGCTTAAAGGGACAAAGTGCGTAAATGAAGTCTCATTTTTGATCTTCATAGTATTTCCAATGGATTAATAAACACCTGATCTTTCATATGACACAAAAAAAGCTCAAACCACAAACAGACCTCATCAGAGTTGACACTAGCTCATGAAAAAATATTTTTGATCTATCTATTTATATATGTCAAGTTTTTAGCAATGCCATAGAAAGATGGCATTGTTGTTTGCATTAATTATCCATTCAGTTTTGACAGGATTTTCAAGCATACGCCATCTTTTAATCCAAAAGTTATTCAAAACATACACTTTGTGAAAAGTGGTAATTCACTTTTTTCAATCTCTGAACTTCAAATGCTGTTTTCTATGCGAGTAATTTTTTTTTCACTTCAGTATTATCCCAAATTAAAGTTTTTATCATATTTGATTGACTGTGTGAGTGACATGTCTCAAATAATATTTTGTCCTTTTTCCTTCAAAAATAGGCGCATTGCCTGTTTAATTCCAATATGTCATATTTCGGCTTATTCTTGAATAAGATTTCCAATTTTAAACTTTCAGAATCATGATGATTAAATTTGGAAATTATGTCTTTGATTTTTATCTTCAATTCTATATTCTCAAATTTATTTAGAATTTGAGAATAACCCAGAATTAATAGAAATACTGGTACGTAAAAGTAGAACATAACTTTCAAGTGCCATTTCGAAATGCTAAAAATTATCAATATCTAGTTTGAGTGTATAATCAAATATCACTTTGTAATCGTAAAAATGAAAAAGGGATATATATAATATAGAGGACATATTAAATAATTTATCTATTATACTTGTGGGATGAGTTGTGTTGGGATGAGATGTCTTGGGATGAGTTGTCTTGGGATGAGATGTCTAGGGATGAGATGTCTTGGGATGACTTGTCTTAGGGATGACTTGTCTTGGGATGACTTGTCTAGAAACATTTTCAATGTATCATGACCCATTTTGACGAACCAGGGACACTAGGTAACTATCTTAGTCTAAAAGTGATTTTATGTCATAGTGTTGCATCGCGTATATTCTGATGATTCTATTCAAATCATATAGGTAGCGTTCACTAATTGGGGCGACGCTCAGCCTAACCTCGAAGGATCGTGTGCCCTTAGCAATGTACTGAATCTAAGTTCCGGTATAAGTTGGGATGACGAGCAATGTTCGATGTCTCATAACTTTATATGCAAGAAGGATGCTAAAACTACAGGTTACTATCTTACTACTGTTCTACATAGTATTCTAAGTAACAGGCTTTAAAGCAATGTGTAGTGCGTAAAAAGAAGGACACTTTTCCAATGTATATACGTCTTAAGATCTGCAATAGAATGAAAACGTTGAACTACTGTATAAGTAGTATTTAATCCAAGTGGTTAATTTGCCGAATTGTAAAATTTTATCATTTACCTTATTTTAATTTTCCTGGTGACAAGAAACTTCACATTGGATAAGATTATTAATATAATATTTATGACATTTAATTTTCTGAACCTGGCAAAAATTAGGCAATAGGCAAATTAAATGATTAGGCATACGTATGTAATATTTTAATGTTCCAAAACATATTCACTATGAACTGGTTTAGTCTATCACCTGCCATCATGTCTGCACCTTTCGCAGGTACGTGTATCTGCTTCTCTCTTAACTTAATGACCATAATATATTAAGAATCATATTTTTGTTACAGACCTGTGCGCCATCAATGGTAATGGAGGTGTGACAGATCCGAAGTCGGGACATTGTTATTGCCCAGATGGATGGTCTGGAAAATATTGTGGTTGCGCTGGTAGGTGAAAATATTTTCATAAAAAATACACATTTTGATTTTGATAAATGCATTGATGTACCGCAGCAGCACATTCTAAATTCCAATTGTTTGGATTATATCTCTATATCCAGAGCCAACTCATTGTGCCATTGAGGAAGTAAACCGAGTATCCTGTGGAACTAAGACAGAGGCAGAATGCATATTAGCATCATGTTGCTACGATGTTTCATCAACACCCTCGTGTTTCTTCACAGGTATGTTAAGTTCCTTACAACCTGATCATTCAGATACACTCCCCTCCATAATTTTGGCAACCTTAGACCCTTTACCTTTGAATTCGTATTTACTTAACCTGCGATGAAAATACTTATACTGTTGATGGAAACGTAATTTTCCAAATCCTTTCAACTTTTCCCCCGATTACAATAGGTCTAAAATTGATGATAAATTTGATGAATTTTTGAAAATAGACATTCCCATGTTAACCAATGGGAAATGGTAGCTTTGCCACAAGTCATATGGCAGAATGTCCATCCATCCGAGTCCTTGCAAAAATATGAGTTAGGTAGGCAATTAAATTTGCTAACTTTATTTAACAAAAAATTGATAGTTACTTCAGGTTCAACAAAGTTATAGGTCTTTAAGTCAAAATTGTTTTTCAAAAAACCTCTCCCATTGAAATAACACAGGAGGCGAAAATTGATTTTCAAAAACGACTTTGAAGCCCTGTAACTTTAGTATTTATGAAGTAAACTAAAGATTTAGTGTACAAAAAAGTTAGACAATTCAATTTTTTATATAACAATATTTTTTGCCGAATCTTTTACTGAATAGATATCCTGATTTCTGATTTACCCTGAACCCACCATTTCCCATTGGTTTACATGGGAATCACGATTTTCAAATATTCATAAAATTTTTCATCAATTCTAGACCTATTGTAATTGAGGGGGAAAATGGGAAAGTTTTGAGGTATTGGAAATAAAGTCAAGTTACGTTTCAATCAATAGTATAAGTATTTTCATCGCAGGTCATGTAAACAAAAATCCAAAGGTAAAGCAGCTAAGGTTGCCAAACCTATGGAGGGGAGTGTAGGTACCCTGTGAGAGGCATCGAGGTAAGCTATGACTTCTCCCATCTGCGATGCAACAGAGAGAGATGCTATGAGTTTTGTTTCTTTCTATTATCCATCTACTGTAGTTGCATATGTATTTAGAATGTAAGTAATATGATAATAAACAATAAAGGAAATATGACTAGAACTATTTGGAAATAATAGGAATATTATGGATAATGCAAATAAAAATAAGTGGAAACAGATAGATTGTTTTCAATACTAGTTAGTACCTGATATGTAGTACAGGTATACTAGTATAGAATATTAACCTCCATGTGTTTTATCATCATTATGGACTTGTTAAGCTACCTTTATCTAGCTACTATCAATACTTAACTGTATATCTTTTAAAAACATCTTAGCACTATTTTATTTTATTTAAAGATAAGAACTATTTTATAAGCACTATTTTATTTCATTTAAAGATAAGCACTATTTTATAAGCACTATTTTATTTAAAGATAAGCACTATTTTATAAGCATTATTTTATTTTATTTAAAGATAAGCACTATTTTATAAGCACTATTATGTTTTATTTAAAGATAAGCACTATTTTATTTAATTTCAAGATAACATCGCTCGTGGAAAGTCAGCTTTCCAATCATCAGATTTCTCAAGTGGGTCGCCCGATGCGAGTAATGCTATAGATGGCGATACCAACCTTGACTATAGCTCTGGATCGTGCAGTAAGACGGCTGAAAGTGGCTCAACGCCTGTCTACTGGATTGTAGACCTTCAGGATGACTACATCATTGAGAAAGTTCGCATATTTGAAAGTAACTCGGGTATGTTTGAACCATTTGTTTGTTATCCCAACTAACGAAGTTAGAGGGGTCTGTTCGTCCATCCGTCCGTAATAATTTTTGATAACTCAAGTATCAGTGGATGGATTTGGTTAAAATTGTATATGCTCATATGGTAGATTTATCCGGTAACCGGCAGCCAAAAGTTGCATTCGTGAATCTAAGCTTACTAAATAAAAGTATTTTTCGGGTAAAATGCCTTGGATTACTTCTTATTATTGTAGACGAGAGCCTTGGGAATTTCCACATTGATGCAGCTATGGTTATCCTCAACCAGTCTGACCCGGAATCAAGTGAATGGGATCGCTGTGCCTCAATCCTTGGAGATGTAGAGACAGAACAAACGATATCTTGTAAATTTGGGGTCATCGGTAGATATGTGAGAGTAAGACGTGCTGTTGATAATGACAGCACTCCATTGGTTTTATGTGAGGTGAAAGTTCATGGACAGCTTGTTGGTGAGTTGGACAAAAATGAAATAATGTTTATAACCATCATTATCACAATCGGATACCACACTGGAAGACTATTGGGCATTTCATTCACACTGAAATCGTATAATCCATGGTCACGGTTAAAGATAAAGTAATGCAAAAGTTATGGAAGTACTCAGTGGCGTAGCCAGGATTTGGTGACCGGGGGTTCTATTTTTATGTTATTCACAAATCTCCCCCCCCCCTTTCATTAGAGTTTCTCAAATAATGCAATTTGTACAATTACGCTCCCTCCAAAAGTTTGGCAATCCTAACTACCCCATTGGATTATGTATTAAAGCATCTTTAAGTCTGAATTTTTATTTGCATAATTTGTAAAGAAAAAACTATTTTGGGAGGGGAAATATAATTCATTTCAATACCTTCATTAAAGGCAGAATCTGATCTATAGGGGGTGATAAAATTACAAGCAACATGTATAATCGACCTACCAATCTATTCCTTACAATATCAAATACAATATCTCCCAAAAGATTCACAACATTTTATAAATTGGTGAAGTTATCAATGATTCAAAGTGCAAAAATGAGTGAAAAATGTTTAAATTATCCCAAGTAATAAGAATGGTATTGTAACCATTCTTATAGAAAAATAATACATTTTTGTAAAAATCTTTAGTTTTCCTAGAATAAAGTATGCACTGTTGTGATTTTTAGAAAATAGACATGACAAGGAATGACATGAGAAAAGTAAAAATGATTTTCAAAAATGACCTTGTAGCTTTGCAACTTTAATGTTCACAAAGTAAAATAAACAGGCAACGTGCAAAAAAGTCCGACAACTTATAATTAATTTTCTGCATCAAAATATACTTCAGTGAATCTTTTACTGAATACAAATCCTGAAATCTGATTTGCCCCGAATCCACCATTATTTCGACTGATTTCTGGAAGACCCTGGAGCATGATTTGTTTCCAAGGAATATCAACTATTTCGCACAATTTATTCTTTAACTTAAAAGCTCCTTCATCTAGGACAAAATAAATCACCTCATGCAATGGCTTATCATTTTTTTCAGGAAATTTGTTGGAAGCCAGTTCGGATCAAATGCAAGGTTATTGAAATTGACGCAAACACCCTATACTCCTAAAGATCGTTCTTCTATGATAACTTTTCACAATGTTTACACGAAGGCTTTATAAACTATCCGGGATAGTCGTATTTCTGATGAAAATATATATTATTCAAATAAGTGGGTCTCGGTTATGCTTTGTTTTAAAAAGTTAAAAATATTTCTTTGGACGTCATCGGAGCTCAGTGGTAAGTCCCCAAGAGCAGATCAACCGCAATTGATAATAAAAACGTTTTAGTGGATAAAATTATATATAAATACAAGCGACTGTTATTTTGTTAAGTTCAGACGGCTTGATAACAAATTAGGTCTTCATTATTCGAAGATTAATACCATATAATTTTTCAATGTTTTTTTTATTATATTATTTATTCGCTAAACATATCATGACATTAACATGAAAATGGAGAGCAAGTAAACTGGAACGATAACAATTTGAATTATGAGTGGAGTGTATCTGAAAAAAACAAAATCATTTTTTGCAATGATTGATTTTTCTTTGGAAAGTGATGGATAAATAAATACTGAACAAATGAAAGAATGAATGAATTTGAACAAATCCTTGTGTTTATAAATGATATACGCTTTTAAATAATTCATTTCACAACGTTTTTAATTATTAATTGGTTTCGGGGACTTGCCAGCCCCAGGGACGCCCCAAGAAATATTTTAAATTTTAATTGAAATAAAACAAAACAGAGATGTACACATTTGAAAGAACATGTGTTTCATCAATATTACGACTATTCCAGATATTTATTCGCCAATGTTGTAAAAATCATTCGGAGTATGGGACGTCTGCATTGTTTTCAATAACTTTCAATAACTTCGTATTGGACCAGAACTGGCTTAAAACAAAATTCCTACAAAGGACTGATATTTAGCCATTGCCCAAGATGGGTTATTTTGTCCGAGATGAAGCATGCCAAACGTTTTGAGGGAAGTGTAACTTCACTATGACATGTTTTTAAGAAAATAATGCTCTCGTGTTCACCATCACAAATATCAATTCATTTACTGCTCATATATGTAGTTTTCAAATAGCACAGTAATTTAATGATTCTGGTTATATGCATTTTTCCGCAAAATGATATTTTGGGAAATCCTGACCGGGGGTTCGTTCGAACCTACCGAACCCCCGCTGGCTACGGCTATGGTACTGAATAGTATAAAATTGTTGTTTAAGCAGAAGATGCCTTGCTTCAAGCACATTGGTCACAATTCGTTACATTAAAATCATGTCCCTTCATATTTTATAGAAAATGTTGCACTTGGAAAGACAACATTCCAGTCTTCAACTTTAAGCACTTATGGCAGCGAACTTGCTGTAGATGGCGACACAAATAGCATCCTAACAGGAAACAGTTGTTCCAGTACCGAGGAGCCGGCCAATGTAGACGCCCCCTGGTGGATCATAGATCTGAATGATTTCTACAGGGTGATCAGAGTTGATATATTTGACAGGACGGACGCTGAAAGTAAGAAAACGTATTTATTAGCTAATAAAGAATAAAGAGCCATATTTTCAGCGGGATTTTCAGTAACACTGGTCCAATTACGAAAATATTGAAAGTATAGACCCTCCTCATATGTTTTATTTTTCATATAAATCAAGCCATGCCCTATTCTGATACATGTTGTTATGGGCTGAACTTATTTTGCAGCATCACGATTGCAAAATTATCAGATAGATGTCACTCGAGAAATAGTTGACACTGGAAATATTGATTCTGTACATTGGGAGACATGTGCTGTTGAGTTGTACGACCCTGAAGACGCAGTCATCGCAGAACGCTGCTTTTCAAGACCACAAGCAAGGTTTCTGAGAATCAGACTGAACTATCTCGAAACATTGACATTGTGTGAAGTCAGAGTATATGGAGCAAAGGGTACTTCCTGTTGAATACTTATGTTTGTTTTTATTTGCTTCAAATATAACACTTTATAATTCTAAAATCTAAATTAGTCAAACTATGTTAGGCTAGCATAATACCAAAAGAGTAAAGCCTAAGCATTATATAGTTTGACGAAGAAATGTCCAACAGTTCAGATAAAAAAATGTCTTCTCCCTCCCCCTTCTCGTTCAAGAGCAATTATCGCAAACCAAAACCCAAAACAAAAAGAAAATTGCAATAGGCTACACATTCAGAAACGGAATATTAAAATACACAATCAGCAAAACAACCCCAAAATCCCATGCAAACCATCCAGAAACCATACAAAACTATTTTGAATTTTGGCATGTTTTCAAGAGTTGATGTTTATTGTATCAACCAAACCATTGTACGTGAGTCGGGCATCAATGACCCAAATCGATGTCTTTAAATTGCACTTTTAGCTAATGTAGCAACAGGGCATGTGACGAGCCAGTCATCGACGTTTGGTGGCCAGTCCAGTGATTTAGCAATAGATGGCGATACAAACAGTGGGGGAGTATGTACCCAGACTTTAGATGAGGCGAATGGTTATTGGCAAGTTGATCTAGGTCTTACCTATGACGTAGAAAGTGTTGTGTTGTACAACAGCGACACAAACCGTAAGTCCATGAATGTATATTAGATAAAAATAGATTTTAAAGCTTGTATTCGCGAATGCAACTAAGGCCCGTCGACTGCCGGATTAACCAACTATTTTATGACCAACTCATTTAAACATGAATAGAATAGTGGTAGGTACAATTCATATATAAATGAGTTGCCCATAAAATAGTAGAATAATTCGGAAGCCGACAGGCGTTAGTTGCATTCGCGAATACAAGCAAAGTATTGCTAGGCTAAGCCTGTGCACCTTCTGACGTTAATGTCATGGTTATGTATGGGGATGACAGCAGTAAAGTATCCAAGCAATCCTCTCAATAACCACAGTAGGTCTTGAGGGTTCATAAAATGGTACTACAATACAACAAAAACCTGGAGAAAGCGGAGGGAAGCTCATTCTTTTGAAATGATGTGCGAATACCTTCGAGTGCTCTTCAGTCGTTGCAATTTCAGTTTGGTGATGGCGCCATATGTAACCTTGAGGTCCGTGTTTTAAGTTCCTTGTACTTCATTTATTTACAGCTGAACGGTTGTCCAATTACTCGATAGAAGGTACCGTTAGGTTATTGGATCCACCTGATACATCCTCAACTCAGTGGACATTGTGCAAAGAGCGCATTGGCCCAGCCGCATCCATGGCTGATGGTTACGTTATTCAGGAATTCTGTGATCAGAGGACTGTTGCAAGATGGCTACGAATTCGGAAAGACGGGGTCCTTGCCTTGTGTGAAGTTCAGATAGAAGGTTCTGTTGTCGGTGAGAGAAGTTACTGGACATGAGCTATCCATATGTATTGAATCACGATTAGATAAAACCCAGAAAATTAAATAAGAAACATCAATGCGAATGCAATAAATTAACAAGTAAAAAGAAATATTCGAAACGTTCTAAGGACACGAAGGAGAGTAGTCGCCTTAAAACTTGAATACAGTTGGCATTAAACTTGAGTAAACTGTTAATTAAGACATTTATTTTAGAAAACGTTGCGAAGAATAAAGAAACATTCCAGACTAGTTTGACTACTAATGAAGTATCCGACAATGCTGCTGACGGTGACATTTCAACCTGTTCAAAGACATCAGATCCACCTTCCGAATTGGAATCTGTAAAATGGACTGTGGATCTCAATGAGATTCACTTCATAGACACAGTCATTCTGTTTATTGATAGTAAGCATGGTTATGGTTTTCGAATAACTGGTGTACCCTGATATGTTTTCTTTTTCTTGCTGTGTTCTGTGACAATATTTGGTCATTTCCCTTTGGCATATGTACATACTGTACATATCTATCACTGGTGTTGTCACTCTTGGTACTCAATCACTAAGATTGGTAGTGCTCATTAGTTCACGATAATTAATACAGAAATTCACATTAATACAGGTACAAGTACCGGTATGTCTAACTATATAATAGAAGTTAGCCCAGACTTCCAGACGTGGACACAATGTGTTGAAGACACCGATGGACTCGATTTTCCAAATAGTTTAATGCAAATAGATGTTTGTCAAAACATTGTGGAAGGCCGCTGGATTAGAATAAAACTGCAGACGTTAACGATGCCCCTGGTACTATGTGAAGTACAGGTTCTAGCTGAAAAAGAAAGTAATGATATATTTTTTCTATTATTTTCAACGTAATGTTGGCAAGGTATTGACATATTAATAAATAAGTAGTTTATAGTTACATGTACGTGTGATCTTACTTTGCCTACCTGTAAAATCATATCATATATAGTATGTCAAATGAATCTCTTCTAATTGCACTGTAAATTGAAATGATAAATACGAGAATGTTATTCGTCAAATTCAGGTCGGGGTCAAATTAAACTGCTAAAGTTGAATGAAAATATTATTTCCTTTTAAACAAAATATTATTTAGTAAGTGAAAAGAGATCTTTGTGTTTTAGACAACATCGCACTTAACAAAGTGACGCTTCAGTCATCTAAAGATGTGACACAAGATTTTGGTGATAGTTTCCTTGCAAATGATGGGAATACCGATGGTACAGTCCTTGGTGGGTCGTGCACGCTAACAAATAATGAACCAGAGCCTTATTGGATAGTTGACTTTGGAGAGTCTGTGTCCATTAAAAGTGTTGTTATTTACAATAGAGTTGATGCTTCCGGTAAAGTATTGCAATAATGCATTTACTTACAACATATGGTGATATTGTGTTATATGTTCAGAATGAATGTGCTTGTCATGCGCCACATTTGTTGACTTGTATTAGCCCAGTATTTTTATGCCCTCTTGAATAAACTCTGTTTAATAATGTTTTGCAAGACGGGTTGTTTGATTAAATCACGTGTTATAAATTGTTTCCAGCGATTTTTCTAACAGATTTTGTTGTTGAGGCAACAAATGCACTCGACATAGAAAACAATGAGCTGACTCCATGGAAACTGTGCGCTAGACAGAGGGGTGGTGTTGACTATGGACGGCAGGGACAGATAATCACGTGTCCAACTCATCTTATGGGACGTTGGCTCAGGGTCTCCCTGAAATCAGCAGGGATACTTTCCCTTTGTGAGGTTGTGGTCAATGGAAGAGATGGCTGTCAAGTTGATCAGGCAGAATGTGTTGATGCAATAGATGGTGACATCTCATGCAAGTGTAGGGAGGGCCTGACTGGACAATATTGTAACTGCCCATCTGGTAAATATAATAGACCAAGCCGGCCCAATCATGCCATCTATTGGTAAATTTAACATTCTGAGTTTCGGGCAGGAATAGGATGCATTAATGCTAAAGGATAGGTATCGCTATGGTGAACTGAATTCAACAATGTTTTTCTCTTAAACCAATTGTTGAAAACATATGTAAAAAAGACGGTCCTTGATGTAATGTTGACTGATTGCCAACAATTTAATGCAAAAATTATTAATATATTTTCTATTACTGTTTTTGTTAACATTTTTCGTTTTTAGTGCAAATTGTTTTCTGTTCCTTTCTACCAATTCTTGAAAATGAAATAAAATGTCTTTCTGAACCTTGTTGGAACAAAATAGCATATACAACATTTTCTTCAACGGAAATTTTGGTTGATTTTACATAAAGTATTCAAAAAATCAAAACAAAACCACCCTAAATAGATAAAAATTAAGATAAAACTTTTATTTCACTAACAACATATTTTTTTAAATCAAACAAACTTTCCTTTGTACAATTACAATATCGAGAGACCTAAAAACGTTGTGTTTGTGTCGTTTTGTTCCAATAAGGTTCGGATAGATGTTTCATTTCATTCCGAACATATGATACCAAGAACAAAAGAAGTGTCTGATGTGTTTTCGAAAACAATATAGAAAAAAGTTTATATATTTTTTCCAAATTATATTGTTACCACTCAAAATATGACCATTAAATTGACGAATTGTAAGATTTTCATAATTTTTTGATGACTGGTTTAAGAGAAACTTGAGTTCAAAAAGTTCACCATATCGATACCAATCATTTCCAAAATATCCTTCAAAATCTAAGAAGTTCTCTTATTTAGCAATAAATGAAACATAATTTTGATTGGAAACATTGCTCTCTCAGAACTATGTCATCGGTAATCTAGCTAATATTTAATATTTTGGGATGTGTAATTTCTAGCAAGGTATATTTGTAATGTCCATTCTGCATAAGATTTGCTTATTGGGCATAACCATTCTAACCATATAATTTACAGAGATCTGTTTTAGCTTTTGTCAAGGCATAATCAATTTTGATGAGCATTTCAAGCTGTTTTGGAGAAACTGAATTAATTTTCACTTTACTAAACTAAAGGCCATATGGAATGAAATACATTTTCATATGTTACAATCGCACCATGTGAGTAAAATAATGCATCATGAACCGATTGCATTATGAACGCCTTCACTTTCACAATTCTACATATTATATATTCGTATTGTTCTAGACGACATATGCAAGTATGGCGAGTGTGTAGATGATCCTGATGGGAAGTTTGTATGTGACTGCCAAAGACCGTTTTATGGCCAATATTGTGGATGCCGTCCAGGTAAGCATCCCCTAGGAGTGAGACAGAATCTCGAGAGGTAATGCAAAGTCGGACGTAAACATGGGCTGTCTATGAAGCCCTCCGTCCACCAGTCCGTCTGTCCGCCAGAATACTACGGGACGTATTTTCTTTATATTTGTTGGAAAGATGTATATTGGTGAATAGTTGGAAATCTTGTATGATCACAATATATTATTTAATCTTGGTTTTAAGGCAATCTAAAGATTGCAAATGTTGTATAGTTTTCCTAATTCGAGCCTTTAAATATTCAAAATGACTGCCTTTTGTAGGATTTTGCAATAATTTTGTGATCTCATTAAAGTTAATATATATTAATATATTTATTTATAATATAAAATAATATAATATACTATAATCCCGGCTATAATCAAATCGAAGGGATCTTTAAGTAGATTACAATTATGGCATTGTTTTTCTGATTCGTGCCTGGGAATATTTAAAATGCCTGCCTATTGCGGGTATTTGCTTTTAATCTAAAATTCTCATCAAAATATTTTCTTTATGATTTGTGCCTTTCCTAAATGGCCACCCAAATTTTAAATTGAGGGAAATTATGATATCTCCAATGTTTGTCTTTTATTGTCTGCAAATCAACGGTAGAGTAGAAAATATTATATCATGGCATATACGGACTCATGAATACCATTTTCGTTGGGATTTGCTACTCTGTGGAGTTGCCGATTTATAGTAAAATATTGTAAATACATATGTTGTATTTTAAGCACATGCCATCTTAAATAGACACACAGTGTCGTCTATCTATGTACAATGTATACATATATTTGAAAGTTATTAGTCAACAAATGATTGAAAAAGTGATGGTATGCATTTTGGAGCACAATTGGATGATCGTGAACTGGTAAAATGAGATATCCGCTGAAACATCCATCAAAATGCTAACCTGCGTTAATTTTATTTTTTAGGTGCATGTAGTGGGCACGGTTTCTGTACAGACGTTAAAGGCCTCGTATATACTTGTGAATGTGATGCAGGTTTCTCTGGGACATTCTGTGCTTGTAGTAATGGTGAGATTATATAATCATGTTCTTCAATTAGTACATCATGATCAGTATAAGGGCTTAAAAATAATTTTTCGAATAATCTAAATTCGGAAAATAAGTTATATGTTGAGCCCTAAGTGTTTTGAAACATTTTAACATCCTTTCGAACTAATCAAATTGATACATAGATTATAAAACTAGACGATATGCTCAACATAATTCTGTTGTGATTCTAGCATCTTGCAATGGACATGGTACTTGTAGCAGTGACCTTGAGAAGTTTGTCACGTGTACGTGTGACGCTGGATATCATGGTGAAACGTGTAAATGCCCAGATTCAACAGGTAACACTTCATGCAAGTTTTCTGTTATACAATAACCTGGTAGGATATTGAGTAACTTATTGGATATAATTTCACTCTTTTTTGATTAATGATCCATTTTAATGTTATAATACATTTTAGGACCATCATGCCCGAACACATCCCCAAATAGGAAGGTGACATTCACAGATGCAGTGCAAGCCATTGCTACACAATGTGCATTAATGCTACATAAGCATGCGCGTGAATACCACGCAATAGTAAGTATTTTCCTTTCATATAAACACTAAAAATACAGCATGTTTTAAGCCTGTAAGCTTAAAAGTCAACCAAATCATGTCAGTTGTTATGCAATTAGCACATGATCAAATGCATGACATATACAGATGTATCGCAATAATTAAGAATATAGGCTGACTTTGAGTCAACTTTACACATAATATTAAAATAATTTTTAATATTTTTTAACATTAGGCATATTTCTTTAACCGGGATGATATTCAGATCAGTTATCAGGAATGCAATAATATTAAATAATTTATTATTTTTTTAAATTAGGCATATTTCTTTAACCGGGATGACATTGAGCTGCCGGGAATACGTTTCAATTTCATGCAAGCTCGGAAAATGGAAATGCAAACAAAGGCTACAATTTATGAGTTAATCACAACGAGTGGTGGCTGTATAGTATTCGGCGAAGTCCCGGTAAGTATAGACGACTTGTGTGTGACACGTGTGTCCATAAGGTTGTTGGAATCGCACATTATTAAACATAACAGTGTTGTATCCATTAATATGTAAATTGACATCAATTGGGATTTCGTACATGTGATATAATAATTTTAATCTGAAAATACAGGATAGGTGAGAATCAGCTATTCTATGATCGAATAGTGAAAATATCTGGTAGAATGAATGTACTGTGGAATGTATGACTCAAGAAGATACACACTCTTAGATACAAATACAATCGCAATGAAAAACAACAGCCGATACAATCTAAAAATACAAGAACAAAATTAAAAACACTAAATGGAAAACCAGTTTCAGAAAAACGCACCCCGACAACCTTAAAACGTGCAATTAAAGAACGATATTAATTAATATTAAATATGAACGATCTATTTTAAAGGCTCCAGTTGATTGTGACTGGACTATTTTGGACGCCCTGCAGAAATTCGTTGACAATAACAAGGCGGCTTCGTCATGCTTTGATTCACTTTACTTCCAAGCTGGGGTCGACAATGATATCAACGTACGTTTCTTTGATTTCACCTTGAATAATCTTCCCTACATCCTCACAATTCAAGAATCCAAAGTGTACCAAAATTGTGATATATCAAAAACAATCCATATGATTTGAATATGGTTATGTTCGATAGTCTCACTTTTAATTATGATTGCCCAAAAATAAGTACATTGAATACAGATATATTGATAGACAAATAAAATAATCAATAATCAACTCAAAATCTGTGTTGAGATAAAAAACAACAACATTACATTACTTGTCATATCAAAAACGTTTCAAATGTCTTTCATACTCATTTGACATGCCTTGATAGATGTAACATTTTTAATTTTAGACCCAGGAGTTTATTGACGTTCATTTAATACTACACCGAATGAAGATTTCGGCATATGGCGCGAGGGCTTTGAATACTGCAAAGAGATTCTTGCTCCCAACTGCAAGTCCGGCAAAGGAAAGGTTGTTTGATTGGATGAACTCGTGGTGGGGATACATTCCATTTATTCATTTCACAACAGACAAAGCTGCAATTAAACGCATGTTGAAAAATGCAGGTGACCTAGAAATCAACGCCTCTCCACTTGGATCGCCCATTCATCCGCTGAGCAATGCAGGTCGGCTTCAAGATATCGTCTTTAAAAGAGAAATGAAGAGAGCCGAATCGAATCACCAGCGTTCTGTGAAGCATATCGGACGGCTTAAGAACACGGGAGCGTTGGCAGGAGTACCAGGCAGTGATTACTACAGTCAGGTCGTAGATAGGAACGTTCCAGAGGCAGAAACAATGCGTACAACTGATGCTTTACCACTACAGTCCACACTTAAGGCAATGTCTGGCAAACCATATAAAACAGTGTCGAACTTGGAATCTGATCCTCTGCCTGAAGGTCCCAGACGATCTCCATGGAAACGCACAATGCAGGAGCCACGTGACACACAACAGCTGCAGGGGTATACTCAATCAGGAGGGAAAACAGATCCACTGCCAGGTTCTCCAGGGTCGAATCCAATGCAGGCAAGGCAAATGCATCACGCCGATCCACTGCCAGGTTCTCCAGGGTCGAATCCAATGCAGGCAAGGCAAATGCATCACGCCGATCCACTACCAGGTTCTCGAGGGTCGAATCCAATGCAGGCAAGTCAAATTCATCATGCCGATCCACTTGGTGGACAACTTAGGGATGATCACAGCTTCAACGCTTTAATGAAATTCATAAAGCAACCTCTGTCAAATACACCTGGTGGTGACCACATAGACCCTGTACTGAAAAGACAAACAAAAGATCCATTACCCATGCAGTCATCTTCACATTCTTCTGGGCTAGCACGTGGTACTAACGACATGGAGGTAACACAGATAAGGGAACCAAGTGATCCATTACCAATGCAATCTAAAGCACGTTCAGCTGCAAGTTCCATTAGAACCAAACCTGATGGAATAGAACCTTTAGCTGGTCTGCCAGGTGATGATGATTACTCACATGGTCTTATCTCAACAAAAAGAAGTCAGGCTTTAGCTGGTGTACCTGGCTCAGATTACGATACCAGAACCTCCTCTGGACGAAAACCACAAAAACTACCAAGACCTTCAAATCTACAAGCTGGTCGATCAATCTCTGGTAAAATAGAGAGACGTTTAACGGATCTTTACAATCGCCAGATGGAGGGTTATAGCTCCGGAACAAAGAAGAATGGCAAATCGACGTCATTGTCAATGCCGTCATCCCCACGCGCGAGCGGCAAAAGTAGATATGGTGGGCCGTTAGCTGGAACTTTGGGAGGTGACCACCATCGTAGTTCACTGATGAGGCCGCTGGCCCGAGATGCTTTACCTATGCAAGGTTCCCTTCCCAAAATCCGCTTTCGTTCTCAAGATATACAGGACCAGTTTTCTTCATCGGGTAGGGTTCGAAGACGATTTTCAGCTTTTGTCCCTATGAAGCCTGAGGAAGCATTAGCTGGCATTCCCGGTAAAGATCATATGAGAAATTCTCTGAAGAGAAATAAACGTGCGTAATACAAGTATATGGAATTGTATCAAAGAGATATAACTCTGGACAATCTAGATTGAACAATCAGCTATCACTGATCATTGATCGATGGATTTGCCAATGAAGACAAACTGCTTGTGATGATGCCACTATGACACAAGTGCATTCAAATGAGAAATTGGACAGACTAAAATGAAATGTATATAAATAATCGGGAAATATATTTTCAACTGCATTCAAAAACAGCTATTTTATTTTTTAATAATGTTCAGTTACACAGGGGAAACTCATATGACAGCATCAACGCTATCAAATTGTAATAGGACGTACTACATGTACATGCACGGATAACTGTTAGTAACTTTCGAAATCTGAATTACTGGGTAACCTTATTTTTGTCACTCTTAATTGACGTGTTGACTTTTCATTTATATTTGGTTTATACAGTCATGTGGGTACATATGAAAACTGCTACTTAACTAATCTGCATTGGTTCACGGATTTTTTATTTACATAATCAACAATGAAAATACTTATTATATAAAGTCGAAAATGCAACTTACTTTATTTCCACTGCCTCTTAATTTTCCAAATTTTTTCTCAATAACAATAGGTCGAAAATTGATGACAAATTTGATGAATTGTTGAAAATTGTCATTCCCATTACTATTACATGGAGTTAGGGTTGCCAAACTTATGGAGGGGAGTATATACTACCGTATATAGTATCCTGTCATACAGTTTTCGGAAGGTTTCATGGTTCGTTCAGAATAAACTTTTACTTAATAATTGATCTTACCTGCCATTTGTGATCGAGATCAAAAATTAAAGTTGTAGATGAAGACCCTAACTTGTTTTTCAATAATTTTTGGGATCAAATATAGCTAATCTCATTCATTTTCACCCAGATTTTTTCAGTCAACCAGCTTGGTTTCTCTTGATGTTAACAAAGGAATTATTCAATTTCCTATTTTGGTCTCAATTCGTGTATCACTGCACTCTAAACATTCCAATGTTTCTCTCGTGTAGACTTTTCACGGAAGTGCCGCAAATTGATGATTTGCGATTGCCAGATGGATTCTATCTTGTAGTGACGTCACAATTAGGCCACTCAGCTTAGATGTTTGATTTTGAGAGATTATCTTATATATTTCGTGCTTTATTGATTTATTTTTCACAAAAATGTTCGATTTGACTAGATCAACATTCATTCTAAGCACATGTCAAGTCTAAGATCCTACTGACATGATTTAGATAGCGGTTAAGCGCCCCCCGATTTTGATGAAAACGGGGGGCGCTTATAGGCATCGATGTTTAGTCTTAATTTCAACGAAACTTCACACATATAAAGATAAACTCATGACACCTAACAAACAGAAATTTTGTATGACAGTATATGTTTTTATATAAGTTCATAATTTATTTATTAAACATATTATGATAATATAGATAGTAACATGGAAGCACCTTATTTTTATACCATTTATAAATTGAGTATTTCAAAAGTTAATGACTTACCCCTAAAGAATATTTATAACACTATTACATATAGCACAGATATGGCATTATGATGAATGTATATTGCACATGAGTTTGGCATTGAAAGTGTCTTTGAACAATTTCCATTCTCCACTATTTGTTGCTTTAATGTGAAAATGACTTCAATGTCTTAATTAAATTACTTTCACACAAATCATTGATATTTTCACTTAATGCTCAGAAAAAGAACGGATTGCATTGCATAATATACATAAGCCAATACACAAAAACATTGAAAATAGGTTCCAGAGAAAAAATAACATTTTTTAAATTACAGGAGCAATACTTGTGTAGTTTGAAGCAGATAACTTATTCCAGTGAACTATTTTAATAGTTATTACATGTCAATCATAGATATTGTACTTCTACTTAATTTGGCAGTACTTATTTTGGTGGATTTGCTGTTTCGAACATTTGGCTGCTACTTAGTTTGGCGAAATTGCAAAATTAAAATGTACATACTATACATTATTTACAATTGAAATATGAAATATTGAATTAGTGGCAGCTACTTAATTTGGCGGACTTTAACAATTTGGCGGATCCACCAAATTAAACGGGCCGCAATATTGAGTAGGAGTACACTATGCATTGACACACCTTCCACTTGCACCTCTCACAAAACCTGATATTTCAGTGGAAAACTTACTTGGAAATTATTTTACCAGCTTTTAACATTTTTAACATTTGTAATACTATAATGCTTATGGCCATTTCAATAAATTAGCACGTTTGTTGAACATTCAGTTCCTTTGAGCTTACTACTAGTGAGTGCATGCCCAGTCAACTTCATACAATGTATCTAGCTGCAGTTTATAAGTAAAGTACATACACTGTATATAACATCATTTTATATTTCAGTACTAAACTGGTATATATTAGAAATTCAGTATTCACTTCTATTCATTTCTTCAGCTGCAGTTTATAAGTATAGCTGTAATTTATATATCAAGACAATACTTTGCTTGTAAAAAGTATGTCCGGGAAAGTTGTATCTTACTACGCTGATTTAATTTCAATATTGGTACACCATAGTCAAATTACCTGAGAACATAGTAGGTGTTGTTGGATGATTGAAAGCTACTTCTGACCTGTTACTCCTTGTATGGGAGATTGACAACTTCTGACATGTAACTGCACCCCTAGATCTGGTGTAAGGAGACAATGACCTGTGACTGCTGCTGCATCTGATATACATGTAGGGAGATTGACTATTTCTGCTCCCCCCAACATTTGTTATCGGGAGACTGACTACATGTGACATGTAACTCTGCCCACTGTAACTGGTAAAGGGAGATTGATTACTTCTGACCTGTAACTCCGCCCCCTGCATCTGGTATTGGAAAGGCAGCATATGGTGCAGAATTCTTGAAGACCCCTGAAAATGAGTTAAAAGGTTATGCAATGTTATAATAGGAACAAATCAACAAGACACCATAATATCTGAAATACATTATCTTTTTACATACATTTACTCTATAAAGCCTAACAAAAAGCTAACTAAAGCAGCAGTTTTACTATTCCATCTTCAACAAAAAGTACCTTTATTCCAGGGTGAATGGTCGCCCCGCTGCATGGCTAGCTGTGCCTGGTATTGCCCCCCTGATAGTCCAGCATGACCCCCTGGTAATCCAGCCTGACCCCCTGGTAGTCCAGCCTGACCCTCGGGTAATCCAGCCTGACCCCCTAGTAGTCCAGCCTGACCCCTGGGTAGTCCAGCCTGACCCCCAGGTAGTGCAGCCTGACCCCCTGGTAGTCCAGCCTGACCCACTAAGGCTGGAACATTAACTGAATGTCTGCCTCTCTCAAGCAAGTTCATATTTCCAGGCATCATCCCTGGATCACATGCTGGCCACATCTTTGACCTATTGTCCTGTAACATATACATGTGCTCTATACATAAAACAGCATTTGCTAACATAACAGTAGGTCTACAACATTCACAACTCAGCGTTGCCTCATTGCCTGGAATGGCAAACTTACATTTGGCAAAGGACTTGAAAAACTGGTTGCAAATATGGCAATGGACTGACTGAATTTTGCTGTCAACATGGTCGATGTGATTATTTATTATATGAAATAAAGTAAATGAAATATTTATCAGGTGTTCTTTACTTTTTCGTATGGTGATGTAGCCCTTAACATGATTCAATACTGTACTTACATGCACTAGGTCATCCAAACTGCGATGTCTGTTCCCTATAGGTGGATGTATTGTACGCCCATCTCTCATTCCCTCAGCACTACTGTGTCTTCTACTGTGAATAGAATAAATAGGAATGCATACAATTACTCAGAAGGGAAATATACAACAAAACACTGATATATATTGCACTTTGAAGAGAAAAATGACCCAACATGCCCAAAACCTAATCAGATCTTGGAACTAGTCTGCTCTTGCAACTGTCAAAATTCAAGTTGAAAAAATAAGTGTTTTTTCTGGAATTTACATGATAAGTGACGCTCCCACAAGCACAAGGCAATATAGCAGCACTGTTTCAAAGTAAGAAAAAAATATTTGAAATTACAGATACCTTTTCTCAGCCACATTATCTGTAGACACTGATGCTTCACCATTAGAAGATTGGTCATCACTTGTACTGCTTGATTCATGGCCAGCATGCCAGCTTTTTGTGAGAACTTCATACCTGTAATGGAACAACAGAACCATCTCATAAAATGTCTTGTTTTATGTGCTTTGTATATCATATGTAAGATACCAAACAAATGGTCCTAGATAATTGAAAAATATAACGAATGGCACAACACATTCGGTGGGCTCACACGCTGATTCCTTATGATGCAAGAATGCAAATTTCTCAAAAATTTGGCAAAACAGCCTCGACCATTGGTGCACGCACATTACAAGAATTCTTCTTATAGACAAAATTTCCTTTCAATTTTCTCATCTTTAAGTGTCATTTTCAAAGAAACTGTTTGCTCGGATTCTCCCATTTTGAATGTGCAACAATATGTCCTAATAATTAACTTCCATTTAGAGCCCCAGTTCCATCAAAGTAAAGTTGTGGACAATCTTTTCGGATTTATTCTATAACAGGTGAAATATACCAAATGGAGCATCTGTTGTAACCTACCCCAATGGTTGCTGGGTTTGCCACTGGTTGTACCTGCTACTCTGTGGCCAGGGCTGGTACTGTCCATTCCCTACACAAGTGCCCCCTGGACTGCCCCTACTCATTGCCTAAATGTAGATATGAACAAAAATGTATTACATGTATTACAAAAAAAAGTTTGGGAATAAACAGCAAATATTGTCACCTCCCTAAGACTCATGTTCATTTACAAGTACAGACTATCATTATAGTGAATGACTATTTCCCTCTGGAAAGATGTATTTATATTGGGGAACTATCATGGAATGATTGTTAAAATTCAAAATGTATTAAGCATGCCTCAGTTCTTCCAAGAAGAGAATTGATATATTGAATCTGTAACAACCCTGGGTTGTTACTTTCCATATTTTATGTCTAGTTTTAATTATTTCACATATTTACTGGTATTTCAAGGTCTTCTAAACTTTTCATAACATTTGAATTTGATGCCAGGACTTTGATGTTGACCCCATAGCATATTAGCCTATCACAGCAGAGCTTTCAAAAGGGAGAGGCTAACAATTACAAGATGAAGGAAGATTGCAATTAAATCTGTGCTGTTAATTTATCTTCAAATGGGGATGTGAGTAGTAAAAACTGAGGATGATATCCATAGTACATGTTTTACATTTTATGTACACAAATGTTAGGGTAATTTACATCACACTTTAGCATGTGTCATGCAAAGGTTTGGTACATGTATGTGTACATACCTGAATAGAGGAAAGCTCCCATGTGCCATGCAAAGGTTTGGTACATGTATGTGTACATACCTGAATAGAGGAAAGCTCCCATGTGTCACGCAATGGTTTGGTACATGTATGTGTACATACCTGAATAGAGGAAAGCTCCCATGTGTCATGCAAAGGTTTGGTACATGTATGTGTACATACCTGAATAGAGGAAAGCTCCCATGTGCCATGCAAAGGTTTGGTACATGTATGTGTACATACCTGAATAGAGGAAAGCTCCCATGTGTCATGTAATGGTTTGGTACATGTATGTGTACATACCTGAATAGAGGAAAGCTCCCATGTGCCATGCAAAGGTTTGGTACATGTATGTGTACATACCTGAATAGAGGAAAGCTCCCATGTGTCATGCAAAGGTTTGGTACATGTATGTGTACATACCTGAATAGAGGAAAGCTCCCATGTGTCACGCAATGGTTTGGTACATGTATGTGTACATACCTGAATAGAGGAAAGCTCCCATGTGTCATGCAAAGGTTTGGTACATATATGTGTACATACCTGAATAGAGGAAAGCTCCCATGTGTCATGCAAAGGTTTGGTACATGTATGTGTACATACCTGAATAGAGGAAAGCTCCCATGTGTCATGTAATGGTTTGGTACATATATGTGTACTGTACATACCTGAATAGAGGAAAGCTCCCATGTGTCATGCAAAGGTTTGGTACATGTATGTGTACATACCTGAATAGAGGAAAGCTCCCATGTGTCATGCAAAGGTTTGGTACATGTATGTGTACATACCTGAATAGAGGAAAGCTCCCATGTGTCATGTAATGGTTTGGTACATGTATGTGTACATACCTGAATAGAGGAAAGCTCCCATGTGTCATGCAAAGGTTTGGTACATGCATGTGTACATACCTGAATAGAGGAAAGCTCCCATGTGTCATGCAAAGGTTTGGTACATGGATGAGTACATACCTGAATAGAGGAAAGCTCCCATGTGTCATGCAAAGGTTTGGTACATGTATGTACATACCTGAATAGAGGAAAGCTCCCATGTGTCATGCAAAGGTTTGGTACATGTATGTGTACATACCTGAATAGAGGAAAGCTCCCATGTGTCATGCAAAGGTTTGGTACATGTATGTGTACATACCTGAATAGAGGAAAGCTCCCATGTGTCATGCAAAGGTTTGGTACATGTATGTGTACATACCTGAATAGAGGAAAGCTCCCATGTGTCATGCAATGGTTTGGTACATGTATGTGTACATACCTGAATAGAGGAAAGCTCCCATGTGTCATGCAAAGGTTTGGTACATGGATGTGTACATACCTGAATAGAGGAAAGCTCCCATGTGTCATGCAAAGGTTTGGTACATGGATGAGTACATACCTGAATAGAGGAAAGCTCCCATGTGTCATGCAAAGGTTTGGTACATGTATGTACATACCTGAATAGAGGAAAGCTCCCATGTGTCATGCAAAGGTTTGGTACATGTATGTGTACATACCTGAATAGAGGAAAGCTCCCATGTGTCATGCAAAGGTTTGGTACATGGATGTGTACATACCTGAATAGAGGAAAGCTCCCATGTGTCATGCAATGGTTTGGTACATGTATGTGTACATACCTGAATAGAGGAAAGCTCCCATGTGTCATGCAAATGTTTGGTACATGTATGTGTACATACCTGAATAGAGGAAAGCTCCCATGTGTCATGCAAAGGTTTGTTACATGTATGTGTACATACCTGAATTGAGGAAAGCTCCCATGTGTCATGCAAATGTTTGGTACATGTATGTGTACATACCTGAATAGAGGAAAGCTCCCATGTGTCATGCAAAGGTTTGGTACATATATGTGTACATACCTGAATAGAGGAAAGCTCCCATGTGTCATGCAAAGGTTTGGTACATGTATGTGTACATACCTGAATAGAGGAAAGCTCCCATGTGTCATGCAAAGGTTTGGCACATGTATGTGTACATACCTGAATAGAGGAAAGCTCCCATGTGTCATGCAAAGGTTTGGTACATGTATGTGTACATACCTGAATAGAGGAAAGCTCCCATGTGTCATGCAATGGTTTGGTACATGTATGTGTACATACCTGAATAGAGGAAAGCTCCCATGTGTCATGCAAAGGTTTGGCACATGTATGTGTACATACCTGAATAGAGGAAAGCTCCCATGTGTCATGCAAAGGTTTGGTACATGTATGTGTACATACCTGAATAGAGGAAAGCTCCCATGTGTCATGCAAAGGTTTGGTACATGTATGTGTACATACCTGAATAGAGGAAAGCTCCCATGTGTCATGCAAAGGTTTGGCACATGTATGTGTACATACCTGAATAGAGGAAAGCTCCCATGTGTCATGCAAAGGTTTGGTACATGTATGTGTACATACCTGAATAGAGGAAAGCTCCCATGTGTCATGCAAAGATTTGGTACATGTATTATAACATACCTGAATAGAGGAAAGCTCCCATGTGTCATGCAAATGTTTGGTACATGTATGTGTACATACCTGAATAGAGGAAAGCTCCCATGTGTCATGCAAAGGTTTGTTACATGTATGTGTACATACCTGAATAGAGGAAAGCTCCCATGTGTCATGCAAATGTTTGGTACATGCATGTGTACATACCTGAATAGAGGAAAGCTCCCATGTGTCATGTAATGGTTTGGTACATATATGTGTACATACCTGAATAGAGGAAAGCTCCCATGTGTCATGCAAAGGTTTGGTACATGTATGTGTACATACCTGAATAGAGGAAAGCTCCCATGTGTCATGCAAATGTTTGGCACATGTATGAGTACAGTACATACCTGAATAGAGGAAAGCTCCCATGTGTCATGCAAAGGTTTGGTACATGGATGTGTACATACCTGAATAGAGGAAAGCTCCAATGTGTCATGCAAAGGTTTGGTACATGTAAGTGTACATACCTGAATAGAGGAAAGCTCCCATGTGTCATGCAAAGGTTTGGTACATGTATGTGTACATACCTGAATAGAGGAAAGCTCCCATGTGTAATGCAAAGGTTTGGTACATGCATTTGTACATACCTGAATAGAGGAAAGCTCCCATGTGTCATGCAATGGTTTGGTACATGTATGTGTACATACCTGAATAGAGGAAAGCTCCCATGTGTCATGCAAATGTTTGGTACATGTATGTGTACATACCTGAATAGAGGAAAGCTCCCATGTGTCATGCAATGGTTTGGTACATGTATGTGTACATACCTGAATAGAGGAAAGCTCCCATGTGTCATGCAATGGTTTGGCACATGTATGTATATACATACCTGAATAGAGGAAAGCTCCCATGTGTCATGCAAAGGTTTGGCACATGTATGTATATACATACCTGAATAGAGGAAAGCTCCCATGTGTCATGCAAAGGTTTGGCACATGTATGTATATACATACCTGAATAGAGGAAAGCTCCCATGTGTCATGCAAAGGTTTGGTACATGTATGTGTACATACCTGAATAGAGGAAAGCTCCCATGTGTCATGCAAAGGTTTGGTACATGTATGTGTACATACCTGAATAGAGGAAAGCTCCCATGTGTCATGTAAAGGTTTGGCACATGTATGTATATACATACCTGAATAGAGGAAAGCTCCCATGTGTCATGCAAAGGTTTGGTACATGTATGTGTACATACCTGAATAGAGGAAAGCTCCCATGTGTCATGCAAAGGTTTGGCACATGTATGTATATACATACCTGAATAGAGGAAAGCTCCCATGTGTCATGCAAAGGTTTGGTACATGTATGTGTACATACCTGAATAGAGGAAAGCTCCCATGTGTCATGCAAAGGTTTGGTACATGGATGTGTACATACCTGAATAGAGGAAAGCTCCCATGTGTCATTCAAAGGTTTGGTACATGTATGTGTACATACCTGAATAGAGGAAAGCTCCCATGTGTCATGCAATGGTTTGGTACATGTATGTGTACATACCTGAATAGAGGAAAGCTCCCATGTGTCATGCAAAGGTTTGGTACATGTATGTGTACATACCTGAATAGAGGAAAGCTCCCATGTGTCATGCAATGGTTTGGTACATGTATGTGTACATACCTGAATAGAGGAAAGCTCCCATGTGTCATGCAAAGGTTTGGTACATGTATGTGTACATACCTGAATAGAGGAAAGCTCCCATGTGTCATGCAAAGGTTTGGTACATGCATGTGTACATACCTGAATAGAAGAAAGCTCCCATGTGTCATGCAAAGGTTTGGTACATGTATGTGTACATACCTGAATAGAGGAAAGCTCCCATGTGTCATGCAAAGGTTTGTTACATGTATGTGTACATACCTGAATAGAGGAAAGCTCCCATGTGTCATGCAAATGTTTGGTACATGTATGTGTACATACCTGAATAGAGGAAAGCTCCCATGTGTCATGCAAAGGTTTGGTACATATATGTGTACATACCTGAATAGAGGAAAGCTCCCATGTGTCATGCAAAGGTTTGGTACATGTATGTGTACATACCTGAATAGAGGAAAGCTCCCATGTGTCATGCAATGGTTTGGTACATGTATGTGTACATACCTGAATAGAGGAAAGCTCCCATGTGTCATGCAAAGGTTTGGTACATGTATGTGTACATACCTGAATAGAGGAAAGCTCCCATGTGTCATGCAATGGTTTGGTACATGTATGTGTACATACCTGAATAGAGGAAAGCTCCCATGTGTCATGCAAAGGTTTGGTACATGCATGTGTACATACCTGAATAGAGGAAAGCTCCCATGTGTCATGCAAAGGTTTGGTACATGTATGTGTACATACCTGAATAGAGGAAAGCTCCCATGTGTCATGCAAAGGTTTGTTACATGTATGTGTACATACCTGAATAGAGGAAAGCTCCCATGTGTCATGCAAAGGTTTGGTACATGCATGTGTACATACCTGAATAGAGGAAAGCTCCCATGTGTCATGCAAAGGTTTGGTACATGTATGTGTACATACCTGAATAGAGGAAAGCTCCCATGTGTCATGCAAAGGTTTGTTACATGTATGTGTACATACCTGAATAGAGGAAAGCTCCCGTGTGTCATGCAAAGGTTTGGTACATGTATGTGTACATACCTGAATAGAGGAAAGCTCCCGTGTGTCATGCAAAGGTTTGGTACATGCATGTGTACATACCTGAATAGAGGAAAGCTCCCATGTGTCATGCAATGGTTTGGTACATGTATGTGTACATACCTGAATAGAGGAAAGCTCCCATGTGTCATGCAAAGGTTTGGTACATGTATGTGTCCATACCTGAATAGAGGAAAGCTCCCATGTGTCATGCAAAGGTTTGGTACATGTATGTGTACATACCTGAATAGAGGAAAGCTCCCATGTGTCATGCAATGGTTTGGTACATGTATGTGTACATACCTGAATAGAGGAAAGCTCCCATGTGTCATGCAAAGGTTTGGTACATGCATGTGTACATACCTGAATAGAGGAAAGCTCCCATGTGTCATGCAATGGTTTGGTACATGTATGTGTACATACCTGAATAGAGGAAAGCTCCCATGTGTCATGCAAAGGTTTGGTACATGTATGTGTCCATACCTGAATAGAGGAAAGCTCCCATGTGTCATGCAAATGTTTGGTACATGTATGTGTACATACATGAATAGAGGAAAGCTCCCATGTGTCATGCAAATGTTTGGTACATGTATGTGTCCATACCTGAATAGAGGAAAGCTCCCATGTGTCATGCAAAGGTTTGGTACATGTATGTGTACATACCTGAATAGAGGAAAGCTCCCATGTGTCATGCAAAGGTTTGGTACATGCATGTGTACATACCTGAATAGAGGAAAGCTCCCATGTGTCATGCAATGGTTTGGTACATGTATATGTACATACCTGAATAGAGGAAAGCTCCCATGTGTCATGCAAAGGTTTGGTACATGCATGTGTACATACCTGAATAGAGGAAAGCTCCCATGTGTCATGCAATGGTTTGGTACATGTATGTGTACATACCTGAATAGAGGAAAGCTCCCATGTGTCATGCAAAGGTTTGGTACATGTATGTGTCCATACCTGAATAGAGGAAAGCTCCCATGTGTCATGCAAAGGTTTGGTACATGTATGTGTACATACCTGAATAGAGGAAAGCTCCCATGTGTCATGCAATGGTTTGGTACATGTATGTGTACATACCTGAATAGAGAAACCTCCCATGTGTCATGCAAAGGTTTGGTACATGTATGTGTACATACCTGAATAGAGGAAAGCTCCCATGTGTCATGCAATGGTTTGGTACATGTATGTATATACATACCTGAATAGAGGAAAGCTCCCATGTGTCATGCAAAGGTTTGGTACATGTATGTGTACATACCTGAATAGAGGAAAGCTCCCATGTGTCATGCAATGGTTTGGTACATGTATGTATGTATGTACATACCTGAATAGAGGAAAGCTCCCATGTGTCATGCAAAGGTTTGGTACATGTATGTGTACATACCTGAATAGAGGAAAGCTCCCATGTGTCATGCAAATGTTTGGTACATGTGTGTGTACATACCTGAATAGAGGAAAGCTCCCATGTGTCATGCAAAGGTTTGGCACATGTATGTATATACATACCTGAATAGAGGAAAGCTCCCATGTGTCATGCAAAGGTTTGGTACATGTATGTGTACATACCTGAATAGAGGAAAGCTCCCATGTGTCATGCAATGGTTTGGCACATGTATGTATATACATACCTGAATAGAGGAAAGCTCCCATGTGTCATGCAAAGGTTTGGTACATGTATGTATGTATGTACATACCTGAATAGAGGAAAGCTCCCATGTGTCATGCAATGGTTTGGTACATGTATGTGTACATACCTGAATAGAGGAAAGCTCCCATGTGTCATGCAATGGTTTGGTACATGTGTGTGTACATACCTGAATAGAGGAAAGCTCCCATGTGTCATGCAATGGTTTGGCACATGTATGTATATACATACCTGAATAGAGGAAAGCTCCCATGTGTCATGCAAAGGTTTGGCACATGTATGTATATACATACCTGAATAGAGGAAAGCTCCTATGTGTCATGGAAAGGTTTGGTACATGTATGTGTACATACCTGAATAGAGGAAAGCTCCCATGTGTCATGCAAAGGTTTGGTACATGTATGTGTACATACCTGAATAGAGGAAAGCTCTCATGTGTCATGCAAATGTTTGGTACATGTATGTGTACATACCTGAATAGAGGAAAGCTCCCATGTGTCATGCAAATGTTTGGTACATGTATGTGTACATACCTGAATAGAGGAAAGCTCCTATGTGTCATGCAAAGGTTTGGTACATGTATGTGTACATACCTGAATAGAGGAAAGCTCCCATATGCCATGCAAAGGTTTGGTACATGTATGTACATACCTGAATAGAGGAAAGCTCCCATGTGTCATGCAATGGTTTGGTACATGTATGTATGTATGTACATACCTGAATAGAGGAAAGCTCCCATGTGTCATGCAAAGGTTTGGTACATGTATGTGTACATACCTGAATAGAGGAAAGCTCCCATGTGTCATGCAAAGGTTTGGTACATGTATGTGTACATACCTGAATAGAGGAAAGCTCCCATGTGTCATGCAAATGTTTGGCACATGTATGAGTACAGTACATACCTGAATAGAGGAAAGCTCCCATGTGTCATGCAAAGGTTTGGTACATGTATGTGTACATACCTGAATAGAGGAAAGCTCCCATGTGTCATGCAAAGGTTTGGTACATGTATGTGTACATACCTGAATAGAGGAAAGCTCCCATGTGTCATGCAAAGGTTTGGTACATGGATGTGTACATACCTGAATAGAGGAAAGCTCCCATGTGTCATGCAAAGGTTTGGTACATGGATGTGTACACACCTAAATAGAGGAAAGCTCCCATGTGTCATGCAATGGTTTGGTACATGTATGTGTACATACCTGAATAGAGGAAAGCTCCCATGTGTCATGCAAAGGTTTGGTACATGGATGTGTACATACCTGAATAGAGGAAAGCTCCCATGTGTCATGCAATGCTTTGGTACATGTATGTGTACATACCTGAATAGAGGAAAGCTCCCATGTGTCATGCAATGGTTTGGTACATGTATGTGTACATACCTGAATAGAGGAAAGCTCCCATGTGTCATGCAATGGTTTGGTACATGTATGTGTACATACCTGAATAGAGGAAAGCTCCCATGTGTCATGCAAAGGTTTGGTACATGGATGTGTACATACCTGAATAGAGGAAAGCTCCCATGTGTCATGCAAAGGTTTGGTACATGGATGTGTACATACCTGAATAGAGGAAAGATAATGTGAGAACTCTAAGTCAGCAGTTGAAGGTTCACTGGGAAAATAGTCCTGTTGCACGGATGCATCTCTGGGAAAACTAGATCGTTGTTTGATGGGGTTTGGCCAAACTGGACCCCTCTCATTGTGGGACAGTATCTCCTCTACAAGGCTTAAATATCCGAATAAATTAGGTTTAGAATCAGAATATTCTTTCTTCAGATATTTTGAAGCACTGGATTTACCATGGACATTAAGAAATTGTAAGGGATTTTCAAAAGCTTTAATACTCTCAGCCTATCTATTTCAATTATTGGTTACTGTCAAATATCTCAAAAATCGAATATATATAAATATAGACCTTTGGATGCATCTGTCCAATAGCCGTAGGCAGCGGGGTTCGGTGGGTTCGAACAAACCCCCAGGTAGGATTTCCCAAAATATAATTTTGCGAAAAAAATGCATATAACCAGAAACATTAAATCACTTTGCTATTTGAAAACTACATATATGAGCAGTAAATGAATTGATATTTGTTATGGTGAACACAAGAGCCTTATTTTGTTACAAATATGTCATAGTGAAGTTACACTTCCCTCAAAACGTTTGGCAACCTTGAGCACGTGGTGAGATTTAATTTTGGGAAGACCCCAGAGCATGGGATTTTACATTTAGAAATAACAATAATTTCGCACAATTAACTTAAAGCTGCTTCTTCTCGGACAAAATAACCCATCTTTGGCAATGGCTAAATCAGTCCTTTGTAGGAATTTTGTTCTGGTCCAATAAGAAGTCATTGAAAGTTATTGAAAACCATGCACATACTCCGAATGATTTTTACAACATTGACGAATAAATATCTGGAATAGTGGTAATATTGATGAAACACATGTTCTTTCAAATGTGTACATCTTTGTTTTGTTTTATTTTAATCAAAATTTAAAATATTTCTTGGAACGTCCCTGAGGCTTGCAAGTCTCCACGTTAAATAATTCAAAACGTTGTGAAATGAATTATTTAAAAGCGTATATCATTTATAAACACAAGCATTTGTTCAATTTATCCATTCTTTCATTTGTTCAGTATTTATTTACCCATCACTTTTCAAAAAATCATTGCAAAAAATGATTTTGTTTTTTCAGATACACTCCACACATCTAAGAGATTGTATGGAATTCAAATTTTTATCGTTCCAGTTTACTTGCTCTCCATTTTCATGTTAAAGAGAGAATCAGATATAGCGAGCAGGCTAAACAAAAAATTGTTACAATTTTAGAATATTTCTGGCTCATGTCGTTCCTTTTCATGTCTATTTTCTAAAAATCACAAAAGTGCACACTTTATTCCAGGAAAACTGAAGATTTTTACAATAATGTATTATTTTTCTATAAGAATGGTTAGCATTCTTATTACCATTCTTATTATTTGGGAGAATTTAAACATTTTCACACATTTTTGCACTTTGAATCATTAATAACTTCACCAATTTATAACATATTGTGAATCTTTTGGGAGATATTGTATTTGATATTGCAAGGAATGGATTGGAAGGTCAATTTTACATGTTGCTTGTAATTTTGTTACCTCAGATTCTGCCTTTAATGTCATAATATGTTTAGCGAATAAATTACATAATAAAAAAACATTCAAAAATCATATGGTATTAATGTTCAAATAATGAAGGCCTAATTAGTTATCAAACCGTAAAATAAGTTTTATATTCGAACAGTCGCTTGTATTTATATATGATTTATATCCATCAAAACGTTTTTATTATCAATTGCAGTTGATCTGCTCCGGGGGACTTACCACTGAGCTCCGGGGACGTCCATAGAAATATTTTTAACTTTTTAAAACAAAGCATAACCGAAACCCACTTGTTTGAATAATATATATTTCATCAGCAATACGACTATCCCAGATAGTTTAAAAAGCCTTCGTGTAAACGGTGTGAAAAGTTATCGTAGAAGAACGATCTTTCGGAGTAGGTGTTTGCGCCAATTTCAATAACCTTGCATTTGATCCGAACTGGTTTCCAACAAAATTCCTGAAAAATAATGATAAGCCATTGCATGAGGTGATTTATTTTGTCCTAGATGAAGTGGCTTAGTTAAAGAATAAATTGTGCGACATAGTTAATATTCCTTGGAAACAAATATCATGCTCCAGAGTCTTCCAGAAATCAGACGAAATAATGGTGGATTCGGGGCAAATCAGATTTCAGGATATGTATTCACTAAAAGATTCACCAAAATATATTTTGATGCAGAAAATTAATTATAAGTTGTCTGACTTTTTTGCACATTGCCTGTTTATTTTACTTAGTGAACATTAAAGTTACAAAGCTACAAGGTCATTTTTGAAAATCATTTTCACGTCCTTTGTTATTTCAATGGGAGAGGTTTCTTGATGAAGCCTGCTTAACGTAAATAAAGACATCATTTTTGTTAAATAAAATTCAATTGTCTACTTAACTTAATGAAGGTATTAAAATTAATTATATTTCCCCTCCCAAAATAGTTTTTTTCTTTACAAATAAGAATTCAAAGTTAGGTGCTTTAATACATAACCCAATGGGTTAGTTAGGATTGCCAAACTTTTGGAGGGGGGGGGGGTGTAATTGTACAAATTGCATTATTTGAGGAACCCTAATGAAGGGGGGGGGGATTTGTGAATAACATAAAAATAGAACCCCCGGTCACCAAATCCTGGCTACGCCACTGTGTCCACCTGACATTTATCAATAGAAAATCATTAAGATATGGTTTTGTACTTTTGCATGTAATATCAATGGCTGCTGTATTTAAGAAAAACATGTATGGAAAGTATGTATTTATCGACAAAATAACTAATCTTAGGTCTATATTACAATTCAAACATGACATAACAAGGCATAAACATGAAAAAATGTCACCACCTAGTTGTTCACAATATCATGAGTTCAATCTTAGTCAGATTTGAACTTCCGAGAACTTGTAGATGATTATGAAAAAAAATTTGATGTAAGTTGAAAAAAGACCTTTTTGACCTTTTACCTTGAGAAGCTCAGTGAAGGTAAAGTCTTAAATCTAAAAATAAGATTTAAATTTCTGAGATCTTGTAGATAGATGATTGTGAAAAAAATTTTGGTCAATTTGAAACAAGTTGAAAAAAAACTTTTTTGACCTTAAGAAGGTCATTGAAGGTCAAATCTCGAATCTAAAGTCAGATTTGAACTTCTGAGATATTATAGATGATTTTGAAAAACATTGAAGTCAGTCTCAACAGTATTTGTTAAGTTATTGGAAGTTTTTAGAATTTGTTACAGACACCGGACGCCAACCAACCAACCAACTGCCGTCACAAAAAATGGAAACCATATCAATATGTCACCACTTTTGGTTGTGACATAAAAAATCACCAAAAGTTGGCCAAATCGTCACTTCATTCACTACTACTGTTTTAGCGTTTAGCACTGAACGAAACAGTCAAAACAGACCAGGTATTTTGTTGAGGAATAAATACCAGTTGAAATATTGACTTTGTTCATGTCATAACAGACCAGGTATTTTGTTGAGGAATAAATACCAGTTGAAATATTGACTTTGTTCATACATGTAGTTTATAAAAGGTGAATACAGTCATGTTTGGATTTTTTATTAACTCACCTAGATGACCTCCTATGCGTAATTGGAACATCGGCTTGTTGTGATATCATGTCATCAACTCCTTCGTTACCTAACAACAGATCAAATGGTATATCAGGTATAGCCGTATTATGACAGTGACATTCTTGTTTCCATATTCAATGTGATGCACCTACTTTGAAAATTACAAATTGATGACATTAGGCATCTCTTAAATTGTAAATATGACAGGTAAAAGTACCAAATAGAAGATTATTATGTTATGTAGCAAGAATAAATGAAGGAACAATTAAAATTTCAACTAGTCATCAACCTCAATATCGCAAACTACAGTATTCTCTCTAATAATTGTTCAATTCCAATGAGTGCATATGGTCTCAAGAAAACACAAAGTTTGATGCATTAGTTTAGCCAAGAAATACAGAGCTGTAGAATATGTAAACCTTAGTGATAACAACTAAAAAAAAGTTATCATCAGCGATATTTTTTCTTAATTTTTTATGAGCAGTTATTGGAATTTCTCAATTGTCTTACCCTTTTAATTTCAATTTGGAAATACACTGTGCGCTCATTAGAGAGAAAAACGGTAAAATGCAGTGATCTCCCCAGGATTTTTTCTCAGGAGGGTGCAAAATTCTCATTTTCACAATTCAGACCAAAATTGGTCAAAATTTTTCAAGATTTTTCTTATTTTCAAGTGGGTGCAAATGGATTTTCAGGTGGGTGCAAGCTTATTTTCAAAATCTCAGGCGGGTGATGCGCCCACTTGCTTTAATGGGATTGAGATCACTGCAATGTATGTATGATCTAGCCCACAAAGCCTCAGTGCTGAAATATACCTGAAAAATGGTGGTTTGTATATGGCACATCATCCTCTGGTATAGACTGCATACAGGGTGGGGGTTTATGGCACTTAGAAAGGAAATCAATTACATTATCGAGCTCATCTTGAGACACCATCTCAGCCTCAGCACTGATAACTGCCTCTACAAAAAAAGAGTATAAAGTGCAATTATTATAAAATGAGTCGACAACATGGAATACAATTATTAACAATTGACTAACATAGAATACTACATAGAGTACAATTATTACAAACTGGTTCTAGAACTTACAATAAACAACAGTGTTTACAATCAATTCTGTACCTGGGCCTTGTATGTTGATAAGTGGTGGGTTAGCACATGGGTCAGGGGTAGCACCATCTTTAAATCCAGTTGTGCCAGCATCAAGTTCAAGTGCATGAGCCTTCAGTTTAGTTTCATCAGTCTTAAGTTGATCTTTTGAAGTACCAGCTTCATCATTGAGATCAATAAGATCAACATAAAATGAACTATTTCCCTTTTTCACTTTAACTGTTTCAACTTTTTTGTTCATCAAGGGGTCTTTTTTATTATAAGTGGAGAAGGTGTCCTCTTGGTGTATTACCTTTGAGAAGTGTTGATTAGACCTGGAAAACAAAGTAATGGGAAAATAGAGATGTTTAAATCGATAAAGACCAGATTTCTTACTACATAGATAATAATTCATACCCCAGCTTTAAGAGCGGGGTACAGCTCACTTCAGTTTTAAAACAAGGCATCAACATGCAAAACCTGCAATGCTGAACACCGAATGCCAACCAACAAACACCGCTACAAAAAAGTCACGAGTACTGGTGGTAACATAATAAATAGCACTAAATGTTTTGATATGGACAATTATTATAAGATACATTAAGCATTAAAGGTTACCTTATATCCTTCATTGATGGTTTGGCATCTTTAGTTAATGATGCACAAGTAATCTCAGTATTCTTGTTTGAAAAAGATGTCAACATTTCTGCACTTGTCGCTATGAACTGGCAATGGAGCTGAACTATTGCACTAAAGCAACTCCTTATACTCTGGAACACAAACAATGAGTTATAAGATTAGCAATCATGTTCAAATCCTGGGTCTCGAATATAACTAGGGGGAGGAGGTAACGAGTGTGGATGGCCAAAAGCCAATATTTCAAAGGTTTAGTCAACTTTCAAATGGCATTTCAAGTCATGCATATACATGTTGCAGTTGTATTCTAAATTAGGCTGCATTTAAACTTTACATTAAGTTCACAATGGAATTTGGGGGAATAAACATCAAAAATTTTTTGTTTAGGTACAGGTAACTGAATTATGAATGAAGTGACCGTTTTTGTTTGAAAACATGATAATGATAAACGTGTATCCTTACTTGCAAGCTGTCTTCTGAGTGTATACTCTGACTAGGATCCTTATCTACACTTAGCACCAACTCCTCAAGCACCTGAAAAATGTTTGTCTTTTCCTCGACTGTTGTATGACCTGTCGCCATTTCAATCTGTGACATCACATCCAAGAACTGGCCAGCAGACTTGGAGAATTGAGTATTTTGAAAGACATCAGAAAATGTTTTGGCAAGCTGTGAACCAGCACTGCAGAATTGGTTTAACATCTCAATGTATTTTGATATGACATCTCCACAGTTTTTCATCACCGAAAAAGTATCTGTAGTCACATGGAAAACTGATCTGCTCTCTGATTGGCTGGAACCTTTGCTTGTAAATGGTATATGTTTTCGTAGGTTGTCCATCTTGATTCTTGAACATCCAAATCTTGAACTGATTCTTCAACTGATTTGTGGCAAAACCTTAGAACCTATTAAAGCAAAGCAGTTTAAGAAGTAAGTCTTAATATCCTTATATGTATGGTGTATGGTCATGTATACTTGGAAAGCCTGATTTATCACTTCCAAACCCTCCCAGCACTAATCTTACTAGCAGCTAGGATATCTTACCATAACCACATATAAACATATAATAAACCAATCATATCATGTGATCTTTTTATAAGGATAGCACATAAATGGGTACACTTATGAGAAATTCAAAAGAATGTATTTTTACATTGCAAACTTTTTAAAGAGAGAATCAGATCTAGCAAGCAAGAAAATTAAATTGTTACAATTTTAGACTATTTTTGTTTTATATCATTCCTTATCATCATGTCTATTTTCTAAAAATCTCCAAAGTGTATATTTTATTCCAGGAAAACTAAAGATTTTTACAATAGTCTAATGTATTTTTTATTTTTATATTTATGGTTATCATTTTTATGATTTGGTAGAATTTAAACACATTTTCCCCTTTTTGCACTTTGAATCCTTAATAACTTCATCAATTTCTAACACAGCAGACCTTTTGTGAGATACATGTATTGTATTTCAGATCATGAGGAATGGCTTGGAAGGCCAATATATATGTTGAATACAATTTTGTCACCCTCTTTGGATCTGATTCTGCCTTTTTATTTAATACTGACTTACATAAACAATGTTAAGCATTTCCCAGCTGACAATCCTGCGAAGAAACAGTCAGACATTTCCTGAATCAAACTCCTGAACTGAAATAGCAATTGTTTGGCTAATCAAACTACAGCATGTACTGTCCTGTTATGTAACTACATGTATTTTGTAACAGTAATGTTACTATATATCACTATGGAATTATTGTTTTATGTAACTGTTCTTTTAATTAGCTGTATTTTTATAAATATAATTAATTTGATGAATTGAAAAAATTTTCCAAATTTTCAGACCTATTTTGCAGAATCCCTAATAGAATTTGCAATTATTTTACTTGTGTAAGTATTCCTATTTGGATGTCAGTGCTATACCAAGACTAATACTGAAAGCAGAACACATGATTCTAAAATGTTTATTTCCAGATCTATGATAAAATTTGAGCTCAGTCCTGACTCCGCCAAATCAAATAGCCGCCAATATTTGGAATCTACAGTTTCTATTTTGCTAAATGTAGTTATTTATTGTACTGCTAAGTTACTTTATTGTAATTTAACTGTACTTTTAAGGAGATGTATTTTCCTGTTAGGTACTGTCTTGTCAATAATTGAGCAATCTGTAATGCATGGCGATACCTGGTGCTACAATTTACATGTACCAGCTAGACTGTATTCCCAGTCAGAAATTTTTTGGAAATTTTAAATGAATTTTAAATGACTGCAGGCCTGTCAACTTGGGAACACCTAACATGAGTGACTTGGAAATGTTGAACACCTCCCCTCAAAATGTGGACACCTTGGTCCAAATCTGAACACCTTGATCCAAATTTTGAACACCTTGGTTTGAATTTTAGGACATCTTGCCAAATTTTGAACACCTCAAATTTTTCGCGCTCGCTACGCTCGCGTTTCAAACATCCGTCAACGGGGGGGGGGGGGGGGGGGGGGGGGGGGGGGGGGGGGGGTAGGTACGAAAAATTTCGAACGGAATGCGTGACATATACAAAATTTCGAACGGAATGCGTGACATATACGTAATTCGCGTGAAAATTCCGAACGAAATGCGTACATTTTTTTTCCGGCGTTCGTATTTTTGCTGTGTAGACGATCTATTTTTGAAATTTTTCTACAGAAATATTTTTGCGTGACTATTATCAGGTAAAATGCGTATTTGCGTGACATTTTCTGTCACGCAAAAATAACTGGCGTGACTTCAAATTCTTCAGCAAATGCGTGACAAATACGCAAATTGCGGGACAGTTGACAGGCCTGTGACTGCATACATATATATTATATAACACACGTCACACATATGTAAAATTTGGCATTAAAATGTTTGTTAATATAGGAAGTGCTATTCAAAATGGCCAATGGAGTAAATTAATTTGCATATTTGTTACTGTTCGCTTGCTTTATGCTGTGTTACTTTTTAGTTTTTATACCATTTTTAAATTACTACCTTATTACTCAATTGATTGTCATAATATTTACTTTTAATTATTTGATTTAATCATTTTTTTAATTTGTGCAATTCTCTGCATTTCCCACAGGACAGAACATTAGGTTGACAGACTGATTTCTAGCCAGTCTGCCGGATATGTAGACAACATGTACAGTACTGAAAGTCACAACTGAGAAAGGAGCGATTACAAATGTCAGTGATGAAAAGCAATAACAAACTATCTATAATGCATACACCATCCTCCATCACAGGGCTTCAAATTCCAGAATATATTCTTTCTTTTTACTCCCTGCGATAAGCAGTTACTATTTCCCCAATTAAGAACTCGCAATCTGATTGACTGTCCCAACACTGCGACAGAAATCAGTCATTGCGCATAACTAGATCACGTGATTCAGTTAAATCGGGCGCGTCCAAATTGGTTATAGCATGTGGAAGAAGAAGGTCCGGATTCTGGACACCTGCTTAGGAGGATGTGCATAAACAGGTTGGAGATATCCAACGGATCAGCAGGCCATCTATTCTACAAATTGTATGAGTAATCAATATTAAATTGGGGGACAAAAATAAATCTAAACCCTCAAAAGTTGTCACGATGAGCTAAATTCTAAGTTTCGTGTTTCAAACTCTACCAATCGGTAGAAAAATAATTCCCATTCACTTTAAGTAGCATAATAAATGAATCCAAAGCTTCATACCTGCAAATGATGGATAAATCCCTACCAAATTGAACGAATGTTTTCATGAGTCGCCATGTTTGTGATCCAAGGAGGATTGACTCCCAGAATGCAACATCAGGTAACCTTATTTACTCGTGACAGATACGTACCAAATTGGCGGAATGACATTGTGAAAGCTGACACGTGTGATGTTGCATTCTGGGAGCCAATCCACATTGCGGCGCAATTGGGCTCCAAAATCACCTCAACATTTGAAGAGTCGGCATTAACATGTGAATTTCACTTCAAATTTTTAAGTTCTTATATCATTATGGACACAAATTCCACTATATCTGGACTTACTAGGATGGAGAAAATAGAGCACTGAATACACTGAGGTAAGAATATATAAGATGTGCGACAGCATGTAATATCCATAGCCTTTGTAATTCTTTATGTCCCCTACCTGCACATAAAAAATGTTTACAACCAGAACAAAGTTACGAGAAATAAATGAATTTATCATGAATGCATGTATTTACAATATGGAATTATTAGATATGAACTCCCACTTATTCCAAGGTCATAATTTATTGACATTGACGAAAAATCATGAAGAAATAAAGCTGGAATGGATGAATCACAAAAATCAAAAAAAGGATTAGTTCTAGATTTTGGATCTACGAAAATCTACAGTCACATTCAAGTGAATATAAGATATTTTTCTCAATAATCATTATGTCCTGATAAAACTAAATTGTTCATCTACTGGCGTATATTCATTTAATTTTCCAATGAATCAAATTGAGGGCGTAAACATAAAATGCACTCACTTTTAAGATGTTTCTTACTTTTTCCTTAACTTCCGGTCACATATTTCGTTCCGTGCAAAATTGTGAAAATGGAAATATGAAAAAAACCGGGGAGGTTCATTGCAGGTTGTGTAAATAAAAATTCAAACATGAAGAGGCTTAAACACGTACACAGTCCAATGGAAGAGCTAAGGTTGTCAACGTTTTGAAGTTTGTTGCTGTAGCATCCTTGCTGCGAGGGTATTTTACAAGTATATGAATATAAGCGAAGTCCTTTGAAGAAGCAGGATGTAGCTGTAGTGCCTTTAGCCTTTATTGCTCATACCATGGGCTTTCAACTAGAAGCCCATGCTCATACCCTTTGCATTCGTTCGACTACGCTTCCTAAAAGAGAGCTTCGTCTTCACTCTTTTAGTTTACAATAAATCTCTGAACTCACCGAGCCAATCAGAAATCAGAAGTAGTTACAGAAACGAGAGTTCTGACGCACCTTTAACATTGAGTCCTATGGGGAGGGACACGATTTTTCATAGTACCCTCCCTAACATGGGCTCCAATGGGGAGGGACATCTGTGAGCCTCCCTGAGCTCGGGAGGCACATACGGGGACCCCACCCCTCCCCCCTCGGCGTGGTGGCGTGTACATATTTCGGGAATCTCGGGCCCTAAGAGTAACGGACGCCCTACCCCACGACTATACGTTCCGGAAGTTAGCCATTTTGACAGGAAGTCAGCCATTTTGACCGGAAGTCAGCCCGGAAGTCAGCCATTTAACCGGAAGTCGGCCATTTTGAAGCTTTCTAGCAGGAAGTCAGCCATTTTGCATCTGTCTGGGCAAGAGGGTGACATCATAGCGGAAGTGAGGCATCTTTTAGTCGGCCTGGGTAGGTTTTAAAACGGAAGTTAGCCATCTTTTCCCTACCTCCTCCCACTTCCTCCTTACCTCCTCCTTACCTCCCCCCGCCTCCTCCCTACCTCATCATTACCTCCTCCCTATATCCTCCTTACCTCTTCCCACCTCTTCCTTACCTTCTCCCACCTCCTCTCTACCTCCTCCCGCTTCCTCCTTACCTCCTCCCACCTCCTCCCTACCTCATCATTACCTCCTCCTTACCTCCTCAAACCTCTTCCTTACCTCCTCCCACCTCCTCCCTACCTCCTCCTTACCTCATACCTCCTCCTACTTCCACCCAACCTCCTCCTGTCTCTTCTCCATCTTCCAAACCTCCTCCCCTCCCTTTACTTTAATATTCAATAGTTTATAATGTCATAAATGCCTGTTTATGTTTACAATTGATCTTAATTGACACATTTTGAACCAATCACAATACTGCACATTAGAATATTCTTATATATTTTAAGTTGTCCATGTTTTGAGTCATTTTACTGATAGATCTTGAACAGACAACATGTCTTTCAATTGTTCTGAGTGTAGTGTGAATTTTACGAGAGGCATATGAATAAGTTTCATGGAGAAAAAATGCATCAGTCTGATGTTATGCTGAAACATCCGTTTACTATGATAGCAGGTATAGGCATGGACATGTTGAAATTAAAAGTCTGATAGGTTTCTAAATATAGAAAGAGAGCATGTCAATTTATTAAAAAAAAATTTTTTTGTTGTATTTTCAGCCGGACCAACATCGTCGGGGAAGACCTGGCTTATGAAGCACTTGATCAAAAATGTTGAACGGTATATCCCCAATTCCTAGAAGAATCATCTGGTGTTATGGTCAATGGCAGCCTGCCTACGAAGAGCTAAGAAAATACCCACATTTGGAATTTGTGAAGGGAATACCAGAGGATATTGATGATTCAAGATACCTTGACACTTCAGTTCCTACTTTGATACTTCTCGATGATCTTATGAATGAGGCAACAAATGATCAACGGATATGTGATCTCTATAGCAAAGGCAGTCACCATCGAAATCTGTCTGTGATATGCCTACTCCAGAATATGTATCATCAAGGAAAAATGAATAGATCGATGAGCTTAAACTCTCACTATATGATACTGTTTAATAACCCGAGAGATCGCCAACAGGTGGCATTCTTATCGAGGCAGATGTACCCCGGAAATGGAAACAAGTTGGTCAGAGCATATACCAACGCAACTAGTCGACCCTATGGTTACCTGCTTCTTGATCTGAAGCAAGAAACTTCGGAGCACAGCAGATTGAAACCAAATGCCTTTACTAAAAGTGAAGTTGAATTTGAAAGTCATCACGATTCCCGCAACTTCAAGGAACCAATGAATGATTCAAAACACTTACTTGAAAGACAGGGTATTTCAGAAGTTGACTATCCGACGACAACATTTATAAATAGTAGTGATGTTAAGAACTACCCTTACATGGAACGTGAATTTCGAGAAGACAGCATGGTATCCTGTGATGACTGTGGTTTAGTATTTGATAGCATTCACGACTTACAGAGGCATATAAAAAAGTGGTGTCAAGATCAGGGACCACTACCCAAGAGGATGAGGACCCAATCTACCCAAAATATTGAGGAGAAGATTCCTCAAGACAAAGACAATGACGTTGATGACGATGATGGTGATTTGAAAGCAAATGAAACATTTGCATTCTTAAAGAAGTGGTCTATAAGACAGAATGAGGAAGACCACCGACGTAAAGTGGATGAGTATATGGATAGAGGGATGGATAAGACAGAGGCTGTAGAAAAGGCAGATAATAAACTATTGTCAAAGAATAAGGAAGAATTTATAAAAGGATATAAACAATTCGTCAAGCTAACGGTTGATGTAAAAGACAATGCGTTACACAGAAATATAATTGATTCAATAAATAATATGATGAGGAGGGGTGTCTCTGTGAACTTAGCCATTAGGAAGACACTTTTAAAAAACAAACACAAGTTTGATGAGGTCTTTATAGAGGATACAGACCAGGAAAGTAGCTCCGAGGAAGAACAGAGTGAATCCGAAAACGAGGCTGTTGAATCAAGCACTGAGTGATAAATATTAGCAATTTAAAGAGAGATCGTCATTAAGGAGTCAGATTCCGACAGTGTAAGATGGCATATCAAGACTATTTAAAGAAATTATACTTTGACAGTCGAAATTCTGGAGCCTTTGCTGGACCAGACAAACTCTATAGAGCTGTACTAAATGATGGGAAATACCAGCTGTCCCGTTATCAGATAAAGAAATGGCTGGACAATCAAGAAGCTTATGGCCTACAGAGACCTTATAAGAAACGATTCGCTCGTAACAAAGTATATGTCTCGCATATTGACGAACAATGGGATGCAGATCTTATGGATGTCTCTAATATATCATCGCAGAATGACGGGATAAAGTATATCCTGGTTGCGATTGACATTATGTCTCGCTTTGCCTGGGTTAGACCGCTACACTCCAAAACTGGAAAGGCAGTGGCGGAGGCTTTCGATGATATATTGAAAGAAGGTCGACAACCAGATGTCACTAGGACGGACAAAGGTCAAGAATTCCGCGCTAAGGTTGTACAAACATTGTTGAATAGATGGGGAGTCCGCCATTTTGTTACGGGTAATACCCCCAAGGCCAACTATGCAGAAAGATTGATAAAGACGTTAAAGACTAAAATAATGAGGTATATCACGTACAAACAGAACCATAGATTTATAGACAATTTACAAAACTTTGTGAAGAGTTATAACGCCACTTGGCATAGGGGTATAAAAATGGCTCCTAAAAATGTATCTAAAGACGATGAATTGGTTATTTGGTGGCGGATGTATTATCCTAAATCAACTATCGTTAAAACCAAATCTAATCACATCTTTAAATTCCCCATTGGAGCTCTGGTAAGAATTACCCAGTCGAGACATGTTTTTAGTAGAGAATACGACCAACATTGGACAGGGGAAATTTTTAAAGTAACGAAACGTTTTATTAGGCAGGGCCTCCCATTATATCGTTTAAATGATTTTCAAAATGAAGACATTAAGGGTACTTTTTACCAATCGGAGCTTCAAAGAGTACAAGCGAATGAAGATGATATTTGGAAAGTAGAAAAAATCTTGAAAACACGAACTAGACGAGGGCAACGGGAACATTTAGTGCGTTGGCAATATTGGCCAAAAAAGTTTGATTCGTGGGTTAAAGATTCCGATTTAATACCTTTGTAATTTGTGTATGATTCAATGAAGAATTTTGAATGTTATAATGTAAATATGTATTATAGTTGATGTATTTTGAAAAGAAGTGTGTTGACGAATTAGCAAATAAATATTTATCCCAACCAAATGTAACATCCATTAAACGGTATGATCTTAAATCGATGAAGGACGTTACACTAATTAAAGTTGATGGATGGTTGATTGATAATCGATAATCGAGCTAGGTCCGCACTTTAAAGTACAGTCCAGAGTAATTTGTTTCGTAAACTGACAGCTGGATGACCTTAAAACGATAAGACCTCGCGAGTACGAAACGCCTGGTTGATAGGTAATCGATAATCCGCCTGGGCCGCACTTTATAAATAAGGCAGTGACATTTACGACGCGTACTGGTTTATCGATTTATTGTTTTTGGCGGGAATTCGAATAGTATCCTTACAGTAAACGTACAAACGTGGGGTAGGGCGTCCGTTACCTTAGGGCCCGAGATTCCCGAAATATGTACACGCCACCACGCCGAGGGGGGAGGGGTGGGGTCCCCGTATGTGCCTCCCGAGCTCAGGGAGGCTCACAGATGTCCCTCCCCATTGGAGCCCATGTTAGGGAGGGTACTATGAAAAATCGTGTCCCTCCCCATAGGACTCAATGTTAAAGGTGCGTCAGAACTCTCGTTTCTGTAACTACTATCAGAATTCGTCGTCGGAATACGGATGTAGGTTTGAAATTATACCCCTCAAAAAAAGTTAAGGACCAATGGTTTTCCTCATAGGTTTGCATGTTAACCCCCTTATTTGTTTGAACGACTATTTTCTAAGCGGGGAACAAAAGAAATTCCAATAAAGTAAATAAATCTGTATCTCGATGGGGCATTGAATTTGGCACACTCCCTTTCATGTGTAGTATGGCTTGTTACACTACAGCTCCCCGGACGGACGTGCCTAAAGCCCGGTATACACCAATGGGGCAAAGTGGGATTTTGCCCCATTGGTGTATACCGGGCTTAAGGGTCGTTACAGTGGTGTAAGAAGTGGAATTGCCATAGGCGAGCTTTTGAAGAAGGAGTCACAGTTTTTTTTCTTTATTGATGTTGAATAAATATATTTTGAAACCGGAATCCTATCTACAGAGAATTTAGAGCCAAGTGTTGACAGACGGAGGTTTTAAAACTTGCCACTATTTTGGACTGACTGAGAGACAGATGGACAGATCAATGTTAAGTAAAATGGCTGAAAATTTTAAAAAAACTGATATAATTTTTTGCCAATTATTTCTAACAAAATTATTTCATACAACTTCTCTTTACAGTGACATGGCTTTTTACAATGCAGGACACCTGAAATTATTTGTAAAGCTAGGAAATGGGCCAAAATTGAATTTCGTGAGCCAAGAATGGCGACCATTTTGAAAATAGGCATAATTTTGAGCCAAGAGTCATAGCGGAGTTTTTTGTTGTGATGTTGAACAAAAATAACTTAAAACGGGAATCCTATCGACAGAAGTTTTAAGGCAAATGGTCCAAAAGTTGATTTCGCGAGACAGATGGACAAATCAATGTTAACTGAAATGGCTGAAAATAAAAAAAACGATATAATTTTTGCTGATTTTTTG